ATACGTTACTAAAGCATTGCACAGTCTCGATCTATTATTTTCCGACAGACGAAGGTGATGAGGGTCCAACAGTTAAAGAGAAGCTGTTAGCTTTATGTCTGCGGGGTATCGACATCTTCTGTGTGTGGGATTGTTGCTGGCTGTGGCTCAAGATTCAAGAGTATGTGGCCCTTCTCGTGTTTGACCCCTTTGTTGAGTTATTCATCACATTGTGTATCGTCGTCAACACCCTCTTCATGGCTCTTGATCATTACGACATGAATAAGGACATGGAGAGAGCTCTCAAGAGTGGCAACTATGTAAGTTGCAGTGACTTACACTGCAGCAGTTTTATTGCTTATTTTCCTGTGAAGCTTTCAGAATAGTTACCTTGCTGTTGCTTATTATAATTTTATAAAGAATATTTTGTCATTATATTTTTTAGTTTTTAATTTGAATGTGGACAACTTCAATTAGTGGCAAAGTGGTTAAAGATAACTTACATAATTATGTATTGTCCACTGTTATTGAACAGTGTGGTTGAGTGCTTTGCATTTGCACTTTGTATTTTGGAGGCCCTGGGTTTGTCTGTCAGATGGTTATCCTGATAGAGGATTTATATTTTTCTCAGTCCTTTTAGGCCATGACTGCTTGATTTTGTATCCTTCCAAATTTATAATTTACAGTTATCTTCCAATCTACACTTTGTACAGTTTTTAACCTACAACCCGTGGAGTTGAGAAAGAAAGAAAGAAATAAACTAAGAAATAAATAAACAATCGACCTCACCAGTCTCACAGTTATGGCCTTAAGGTCTTAACATCAGTGTGCCAATTTGCAGCCCTAGATTCAGTCTTGGTTATGTCATAAAGAATTGTCTGCATTCATAAATTGCAGTACATTTTTGTATCTCCCACTGTTGCCTTCATTTACTTATTATATCATACACAACAGTTAGATCATACATTTGAGATGAAATTTCACATTCTCATGGTGAAGATTACTGTTTCCTGGGATGTTGTGTTGTGTGGTCTGGTGGACGTTTAGTGATATTTCAGAGGTATTATTGCCTCCGTCAACCAGGCAGTGTGTAAAATCATGCCTTACCCTGGTATTAGAGACAGCAAGCACCTCTGAGATGTCAGTAAAATTCTACATTCTGCATGGTGCATCATCCCAGAAGACAGTAATCTCCATATCCCATGTGTTACCCATGTGGTTACAACAAATACATGTTTGAAAAACAATCAGTATTTCTTCTGTTTCATGTTGTAGTGCAGTAGTTGGAACACTCGTTTCATATTCAGAAGTTAAGTTTATTTACATGTTACCACTTTAGAATCTCTGTATTAGTTTGTGTGAAAGGAAATTCAGAATTTAATGTCTTATTTATTATAGTCAGTTGCAGAGATATTTATACTCTGCTTTAACCATTATCTTACAAGAATAGGGAACTTACACCCCCATACTATAGAGCTGCTGTGATTCATGGTCAGCTGGATTGCAAATAAGCCATGATGCATGTGTGATAAAGGTTAATTTAATTTCTTTTAACAAATATTTTTAGCATTTCATTCTTGTTCAAAACGTTATAGTTCTTGATATTAGTGCATGTAAGAGAGAAGGGAAGTCCAAGTCAGTGACTAACTTTGCCACTTATAACAAGATGTCCATTATATTTTTATCTCTTGTTTATATTTGTTATATTTTGCATTTTGGTTTGTCCTAGGAACATATAATTGCATACAAAGGAAATTACTTTTTAGATTATTATTATTTTACTTATGTTCTTGTAGGAACGGATTTGTTTCTATATCCCACATATTATTATTTATTCAGTTTTAGTTTTCAGGTGTAAAATTAATTTTGTTAACAGTTGACATCTACAAAACATATTTTGGAAGGACCTTTTTCTACCACACATGATATAACATGCTTTCATATGGCTCAGTGTTGTCATATTGGAGGCTGGTAAGTAATTTTTATTGTTTTATGAGAAATAACTATATTTTATTGAATGTAATATTCATCCAAATACAGTGTACACCCTCATTTTGAAGTATTACATAAACACATCAGGTGTACAAAATTGACTGAATAGTTTTAAACATGTTAAATTAATGTAAATGTAGTTACTATTTTTGAAAGTCTTTTGTGTGCAATTTTGTGTGTGTGAATTTTAAAATATTGCGTGTAAAAGTACAATATGCAGACAGTTTTTCAGGAAGTGCATTATATGAAGGACATAAAGTGTGCATTATATTTGGAAAAATATGTTACTGCGTATTGACTGTTTTTAAAATATGAGGATGTGTCTCTAGCTGGACTAACTTACAATAATATTGAAACAGTATCACTAATATTATATTTAATTTGTCATCATTATTATTTATTTGCTTAAACTTCAAGCTAAATAGCACATTTTTTATCTATATTATGATTTGAATTAGAAAAGTTTAATTGTCAACTTATCTTGCTGTGTAACTTATCCACTTCTGCTTAAAAATAAAAATTAATTTCATGTTCTTTTTCAGTGCTTTACTGTTGGTTCTCATATTTTGTGCATAAGTGTAAAGCAAATTTAGATAATGATTTATACAGGAATACCTATTTAACCATTTTGTTCCCACTAAATTTTATAGTAATTGCTAAATTTTGAAACTCTTTTATTAACACAAAAATATTATTGCAAACTTAAGTTGTTAAATAACTAAACTACTGAAAATTATAGGTAATTTCATGCAGTCTTGTTATACTTAGATCCTTATTTGAAACAGTAATTACTGATAAAGGGTAGATTATGAGAGTTGAGGTTTTCACTTCACTGAAACTGTGATTGTGGTCGCTGAGTTGTGATGTGATGCAGTCTTCTAGGTGATTATCTCCCATAAGACTACACAGAATCACAGTCCTGACGACCACAATCTGCAAATATACATTACCAGTGTTTTAAGACATCTCTTCATCATGTAAAAGTATCAAAAGTCTGTGAAGTTAGCTTACACCTTTATTGAGATGTGTTGGGGTAGCAGTAGCAAATTGAATGGAAATAATGTTGTATTATTGAAATGAAATCATCAATTTTGAATACTAGAGAAAACAATTTCATTTTCTCTGTGTATAATTTTTCTAATTTTTTAGAGAGATGTACTCTGTACATATATTTAATGGGGACTGACACTCCCCTTGTCCATAGGCTACACCACCCATATTTAACATCACTGTCTATAAAAGAAATGTCAGAATGGCATCCTAGAACTCAAAAAGCATGGTGTCTCCATCCTGGACCACCCTCCTTAATACAGCAATAGCTTGGACTACCATTTTTAAGACATTTATTAAATGAGTATGTAACCATGAACTCATGGTTCAGTATATTGGTGACTGTCAATTTAGGCTACCATTATTGACAAGAATGTGACATATTGAAATATAGAGGATTATTCCATTTAGTGAAAATATAAATGTAAGAGTTTTTAAACTCATGTTTATAGTATATAATAATCCATATATTTGTTTTTGTCTCAATCTAAGATATTTGGTCAGTTGAAGAGCATAAATCTAAGTTATAGGAAATTTAATATGACTTTATTGTACACACTTGAGAAACTTGTAGTCATCATAATTTATTGTTTGTAATTTTGTGATTATTTAGTTTAGTTAAATGAGTTCTTATACAAAAACAATTCTGAATTATGTTGCGTTCTTTAGTTCTTCACAGCAACCTTTGGCATTGAGGCAGTGCTGAAGCTCATTGCCATGAGTCCCAAGTTTTACTTCCAGGAGGGATGGAACATCTTTGACTTTATCATTGTTGCACTGTCCTTAATAGAACTTGGACTTGAAGGTGTTCAGGGTTTATCTGTGCTGAGATCGTTCAGATTGGTGAGTACAGTGCTAGTATGTTTTTAGTTGACTTGTTTCACAGCTCTTGAAAATCACAAGAAATGCATATAAAAATACTGAATCACGTGGAGAACTAGGCATAAGAAGAAAGATAATATTTAATTTAATCCTAGATAATATATTGTGAATTTGTAGTCTGGATTGAAGTTGTTCACGGTAGGATCCAATGTCAAGGTTTTGTGAACACAGTGATAAAATGAAAACAATTCTATATTAACTGAATAACTATCATATTTTTAAGAAAGGTCTTGTACCATTAAGTTAGTTAGTTAGTTTATTGCACATCCCGAATAGTAGCAAATCTGGCTTTTGGGGTAAGTGACTGAGATGATTTCTTCAAGAGTAATAAGAAATGTGTGCAGAATTGCAACATTATCATATATGTATGACATCCTATAAATTTAAAAATGGAAAGAATGAAATTGGTTGCAGTGGTGATAATTTAAGTTTAAAATTTGCTGGTGCTAATGTAAATGGGTATAAGCCCAAAAATTACAACCGAAGTATGAATGATTTCTTTAGTGTTTATATTTTATGCTACCTGTAATTAGCAAAACTATCACTTAAGCCTTGTCCCGCGCCATAGCCGCGCGGTCTGAGACATCATGCATTGGACCGGCAATACAGAATGCACGCTGGTTCGAGTCTCGGGGGAGAAGAAATTTTCTCATGAGCTTTCGACCAGTGTATGGGACCGGTGCCAACCCAGCATCGTGAGGAAATTGGGGAGCTACAATGGGTAGCATAATCCGGTCAGGAAAGCTAGCAATGGCTGGGGGTTCGTCGTGCTGACCACACGTCACCCTATATCTGGTTGGATGATCGTTCACCTATACTTAGGCATGTGAACGTGAGGCCAGCAGTCAAGTTAGTCGGCTTTGGCTCTCTGGAGCTGTTACGCCACGGATTTAATTAATCACTTAAGCCTTATGTTCATGTATAAATTGTGTGATCATATTTTCGTACACATTTTGAAGGTCAATGAACATGATTTGTAAGAATTTTCAGAAAACTGTTGTCCATTTCCTTAATTTTTAGGACTTACACACATTTGCCTTGGTATCAGTTAATTAACAAAATTGTGCAAATGACAATCTGTTAGGTTTAAAAAAAATGTTGTCACAGGCACAAAAGGATAATACCAAATAGGCACTGTAATGACATAAACAAGTTATGATATTTTCTTTTGTTAATTTGCTTTGTATAAGATCCTACATTTTATTTATATTTCATGCTTAGAATGAATTGACACAGAGAAGATATAATAATGATATTGGAGGCAAGGAATGCTTATTAGCATTTTTTAGGACATTATTTCACTTATTTTTGCCCCTGTGAATTGGCATTAACTTTAATAACAGGTCTTTGATCCAATGTTGAACTGAGCCAAACAAATTACAATTCAAACCAAGTAAATTAAATTGCATTTTATATTGTGTCTTATTTTAAGAAGAATGAGATGGGTGGGCATGTGACATGCATGGATGGGGCAGGAGGTTTGCACTGGGTATTGGTCAGGAAGCCTGAAGGGAAGAGGCCAGTGGGGAGACCTAGACATAGATGGGAGGATAATATCAGGCAAGATCTATGGGAGATAGGAGTTAAAGGAGACTGGGTTTTGTTGGCCCAGGACAGGGGCCGGTTGAGGGTTTTGGTTAATTTGGTGATGAACCTTCGGGTTCTGTAAGCCATCTAGTTAGTTAGTTAGTTAGTTTAGTCTTATTTCAAGACAGAGGGCTGTCAAATGGATTAATTATCAAACTGGGCTTTCACATTTGCAAAATCCTGTGACAATCCATTGTTGCACTGATATATATTATTTTATTTTGGACAGAAACTTTCACCTTATGGGGTGCTGTATATTTCAGAAAATCGATCACAAGCAATCTGATGGTGTCGCATGATCACCGTCCTGGTATAAGTGTGAGCCGTGAAACTGAAGAAAGAAACGGTGTTTTATGTTTATATTCCTGCTTGCATTGTGATTTCAAAATATTTTCAAATGGATTAATTTACCTTTTGAATGCTACAATTTTGTAACATATGATGGTTTCTCTTCTCCAGTTGCGAGTGTTCAAGCTTGCAAAGTCTTGGCCAACATTAAACTTGCTCATTTCCATCATGGGCAGAACAGTTGGTGCTCTTGGAAACTTAACCTTTGTGCTGTGTATCATTATCTTCATATTTGCTGTCATGGGCATGCAGCTGTTTGGGAAAAATTATGTTGGTAAGTAGTGTGTTGAATGGGTCTTTACTGACTTCCCTTTAGACCTTGATTGTTATTTGTGTCTTTATATTTCTATATTTGTGATAATGGTGATGATTAAAAAACATCATGGACCAATTTTGATGCTGGATGCTCTTGTTTGGGAGATTAGGTGAATTGAGATGTTACATATAAATGATCTATAATTCTGTAGCAGTCGTATTTGATTTTATTAATAAATAAGTGCACATTGTTTTTGGTTGGAATGTGTGAAGTTTTTATGCTGAATCTCACCAGCCTGCTGATCTTGTTGAGGATGTCTTACATGAAGAACATAGTGGTTACCCTAGGCAGCTTCTCCTGCTATGAACATGTCTTGTACTTGGGGTTGAGAACTTAGTGAATGTCCACTTTGCTGTAACCATTTTGTCTGGAAGGTTATTTGGGATGTTGTATTTCATTGTTGAGGCTTTCAGAGTGAAAATTGACCTTGGCCCATCAGATGTGTGTAGAAATAATAGCATAATTTGTGATGGGTGATGGTGAGAGCTTGCATTCAGGTACAGGTCTGTATGCATGGATTTTCTGTAGAACATATTACCCAGCAAGCAGGTTAGTTTTTCCTGTGCCAGCATGTAAAGAAATGTAGTGAACTATCATCTTCCATTTCCAATGTGAACCTGGTGTTTGGGTGGATGCTGTTGAGGTGTTCCTGGAATTTCTCTAGTTTATCCTAACCATGGATTCAGACCATGAAGGTGCTGTTAACATATTTGAATCAGTGGACCATTTTCAGAGGAGCTGTACTCTATGCCTGCTATTTTTTGTAACTCTATATTTACGTGGTTGATCAGCCAAAAAGACTATTGTAAGGATTGTATGAAATAGAAATGGTGACCTTATACTGCACTGACACCCTTTGTTGCTTGTCTTTGGTTTTGAACATGTTTGTAATTTTATTTTGGTGAAAGTGTACCCTGGTGTTATATTAGAATCTACCTTTTATTGTGTGTTCAGAGCAAGCAAATGTTTTTTAAAAATATGAAGATATTTGTGCAAATTATGTAGTGACAATACAACTATTCAAATCAACAGAATTATGAGATCTTCATTTCTGCTAAAAAGCTGTTCTATTGTGGTATATCAGAATTGAATTTTAATATTTGTAATCCTGTGTGAAATTTATTTTTACTCTAAACCGTATCGCGTATGAAAGCGGATTGCAGAAATAATTCCTAATTATGAAACATGATATATAAAATGTTTTGCTTTTTATTGGCAGACAACATGGATCGTTTCCCAGATAGAGGATTGCCAAGATGGAACTTCACAGATTTCATGCACTCATTCATGATTGTATTCCGAGTATTGTGTGGAGAGTGGATTGAGTCCATGTGGGATTGTATGCTTGTTGGAGATTGGTCCTGTATTCCATTCTTCTTGGCTACTGTGGTCATTGGAAACTTGGTTGTAAGTATCATTGTCTTGAGTACTATATTGTCATGATGTATATTTTACCATCTTTCATTTTATAGTTTGATAGCGTTAACAGTACAAGTCTACATGTAATATATTTACTTTAGGTGTTCATAAATCACTTGAAGATATAATATTTATTACAAACTGGCTCATTTATATAATACATTTGGGTACAGATCAGGTTGCTAGGAGTCAAATTCAAACAGTGGAGGCTTAGGTTTTATCACAGGGAAACTCAATGTTTCATTGATGTTCAAAGGCTGTTTTTGGAGGGAGAGTTCACATACAGAATTAAACCTCCAAAATATCTTTAATAAATGAATGTACATTTATTTATTACAAAATGTAATTAGACAAGAAAGATTTAAGGATGAAGTCACCAACATTTATGTGAAGAACATGGGTGATTTTCAAGTGACATTATTGCATTATGAGAAAAGTGGCACTGGTGTAGTTGCTTACAAGAAGCCATTGATCTTGGTGCATGACATTTGGAATGTTTCATTTCCAGGAAGCCCAAACTCACTCCTATGTGTAATAAGCTGCCTAAATTGAAGTTTTCTCAATTTTACCCATTCAGGCCACTGTTGAAATATTATTTCAAATTAAAATATGATTACTCCCTTCCTAGTTCTCTTGAATTCAATACAGTGACTTCTAAATTCACTTGGAAGTTGTTTATTAAACAAAAATTTGTTCACGAAATTACTTTCCCATTACTTATATTCAGTAACTGGAGATAAGGTTGTGTTCTGAGAAAGTTTATATACATGTAAATGTTAGTAAAGGAAGGCAAATATGGAGAACACATATACTTATTTGTTTAGTTATTACAAGCAGACAGCAAATAGGCACAAAACTAAGATGAACACAAGCACAGTATGGAAAATTAACAGCAAAGTGGGAAGTTATCACATATCAAATAGCACAACCATATATAAAAACATTAAAGATGGAGATTGTATCTTTTGTTGTTACATAAATGAAAACTGTTTATAATATTACATACTGAAAAGTTGCCAGAATGTGTCAGTGTAAGAAGAATCAACATCTACATGATAGTTGGCAAGTTGTCAGAAACAATTTACATACTGGGTAGTTAGAATATACAATTTTAATTTAGACCATAATTAAATTATTAGTACATGTAAATATTTCTAGTTTTTATTAATTTTGTTGGTATTTAATAATATTGAATGTATGTTTGTATTGTTTTTGAAAATCTTGTCTGTACCTGAAATCCCAAAACAAAAACAGTTTTAGTGCTCACACAGTAAGCTATTAATTGTTGATGTACATTGCAGGTATTGAATTTGTTCTTGGCTTTGCTGCTCAGCAACTTTGGTTCATCCAGTCTGTCAGCACCAACAACTGACAATGAAACCAACAAGATTGCCGAGGCATTCGATCGTTTCTCACGATTCTTTAACTGGATTAAACGTAATGCACTAAATGTGGCAAAGATGTTGCGTGCCAAATTAACCAATCAGATATCCGATCAGACGCCAGGTGAGGGACCCTCATCCAGTTGGAAAGAAGGTTTATATCCAATCAGATCGCTTGTCCTTGTGCGTGCGTGAATGTGCTGCTCTGTGTTGGTTCACACCTAAATTGAATGTAGTTTTCACCTTCACACACTTACACCCACATACATACACAGACTGATGGTTTTTGTTCACAGCCTTCTTCTCTTTCTACTTTTGTTTTACTTTTAACAAAATTAAGAATGTAAATACCAGTACTGGAACTGCATCTTGGCATCGCACAACATTTAGTACAGTAGTCACTTATTTTATACCTATAAAATGTACCATTTTCTTTTGTTTAATAAATTCTTCTTGGGCTACCAGCCATGTAAGGTGGATTAATGAAGAAAACACCAACATTTCGAGAATCATCTTTGTCCTCATCCTCAGGGTACTACTACTACAACTACAGTACCCTGAGGACGAGGACAAAGATAGTTCTTAAAACGTTGGTGTTTTATTCATTAAGCCACCTTATACAGATGGTAGCCTGAGAAGAATTTATTATATTTAGTTGCCATGAAAGCTGCGGATCATGCATTTTCTTTTGTTGTTACCATAACTGTGTCTTCTGTCAACCTGTGAAGAATGTGAGAATATCCTTACCAGTACTTCTGTATGTCATTAACTCACAGCATGTGTCATGTGGTGTATCATCATCATCATCATTATTTGACATGATACTCACAGCACTTCAGAGCTCCTAAAAGCGTTAGGTGAAACAGCATCAGTTTTTATATAATGGAGGTAGTCAGAATACTACTTACAAATTGCAGAAAATTGTCATGCACTAAGTTTACTTCAACTGAAAGAATGACATACATGTAGTAAAAGCAAGATTACAAAATATTTCTTCATTCAGAGAACAGAAAGATTTTTAGTTTTTATGTTTATTTACAAGTAAAGGTTGTAAATATGCACTGCCAAGTCTTTCTATCTCTCTGTCAGCATGAAACATTTTGAGCAAATTTTGATGGATGTTTTTTAAATTTAAAATTGAAGCATTTTAATAAAATTTTTCAACATGTTCCAGTATTGGTTAAAATTGGGCACCAACATGGGATCTTTGCCTGAAGGCCAACAGGCATTTCTGTTCATGGAAGTGACTAGGTGTGGAATCCTTAGACTTTTTGGTTATCATGGTCACCATCATTGTTAAAGTTACCTTGGTTACTGTGGTTATTTGGAGAGTCTCCATATAAGTAATACCCAGCTACACATGCTTCCATGTTGGGGGAATCCTTGATGACATCATGATCCAGCCAGTTTAGTGCCAGACATCCACCTGATGCAAAGTTTATTAACCCAGGAAACTTGTACCTAGATTGCTCACTATACATACATTTCCTTAGTTAACTTTCAAATATGCCTTGTTGCATACACTGTATGACTGTTTACATTATTTTAGGTAAATTTTCTTTGCTACCCTCACTAATACTTTGATGGATGTATAGCCTGCCCTTATTATCCATAACTTTAACACCACTTCATTTTTTTTTGTATGTTGTAGATTGTTGTAGATTGTGCTCCCACCCTTCTCTTGTAATTCATTTTTATTAGTGTAAATCATCAACTATATTAAAGCTACACCTCACCATGTAGATGTACAAAACACAATTTAGTGCAGTTACATTTTACACACAGAGTTTTGAGTTAGTCTTGTAATTTTCAGTATTTATGTTTGTTAGATAAGTGAGCAATTATAAATTGTTATTGCAGTTTTGATTATTCTTTTGAGCACTGTAGTTTCTCATGTTGTATCCTAATGGTCATGGAAGTAACAAGGCACTCTATTTGCTTTCATATTTTATGTCAGTTCCCATCAAATCTGCCTTCATATGCTCTGTCCTTTCACTATTCGTGTAAAATCACTTTATTTGTTAGCATAGAGCCTTAGTAATGCAGGTGTATATTTCATCAAAAATGTCTTAGTTTAACTAAAAATGCACTAGAAATTTTTGTCTGTAAACAGCATTCACAAGACTGGCTTGACTGTTATATTAATAAATTATTTTAATATTGTAATCCTGTACTTAGGATATTAACTTCCAGAATTTTGCAACTGTAGTGTACAATGGATTCTATTATTTTTAAGTGTTTACACAATTAACAGTTGTTACAATGTGCACAGAATGATGCTGAAAGACTAAATTAAAGCTGTTCAAAATTTTTAAAAATAATTAACTGGATACAATCCAGCCATATTTAAGTGTAATATGTTCTAATTTTTGTGTTCTTCACAGATACATTATATTTATTTTAGACATCACACTGACACTTTTTTAAAATTTTAAGAAATTGCTTTTGTTACAGCTAAAATAAATAATTTTGTATATATACAAACAGGATGAAACATTGTATGAAAGCTGGATTGGGTTTGTCTTAAAATGGTTGCAGTTATTTTCTGGAAATAATCTTTACATTTATTGAATAGCTAAGGTGGTCTGGTATCCTTGGTTGACAGGCCTGTTTTACTAGATCTTGTATGACTTAAAGATTTCTGTAGCTCCAGTGTATAGCTGTTGTCATCTGTGAGAAAAATTTATTACTCAAATGCTACGATCTTTAGATTAATAAGATCAGAATTTTCATTTGAAACAAAGGTTTAATACACTTGAATGGACTGAAAAAGAAATGGAGGCATAGTAAAATAAGTAAAACAAAACTTACACTAAAAAACTTTGAAATATAGAGCAAGTTGGATTCAGAAGATGGCTGTCTTTTGGGATGTTACACTGCATAATTGAATACATATTGACCGATGTTTAAGAGGAGCTTACTGTCTCCATCACTCACCTTCCTGATGGTGGAGGCAGGAAGTTCCTCTGAAATGTTGGTCACAGTTTACCTGACTTCATGGTGCAACATCCCAGAAGACAGCTGTGTTTCATACTTGTTGCTTTGAGAACATGAAATCTCACCAGCTGGGTTAAGTGTGCTGACAGAACGTGAAAGAGATGGATGTCTCAGATTATTACAAAATTATTGATTGTTTTAGCAATAATAAATTAGTCTACTAGTAAGTTAAACTGATTTTAGAATTAAAATTAGATTTAAAAACATTGCATTTTTCATAGTAAAATAGCAGGATGTGTAATTATAATGCATAATGGTAGCATTGTTTAAGAAATAGTCATCTTCCATTGTATAATTACATTCGTTTCAACATTGCAACTGTCAACAGTGGGTGCAGTTAAATGTAAATGTTAAGTAGGATTTGGGATTTTCATGGTAGTGAATATGAAGATGGCAGTCTTCTGGGTTGTAGCGCTGTGTGGTCTAGCAGAAGTTTACTGACTTTTCAGGTTTCGATCATCAAGGCTATGAGTTACTATAACCCAAAAGACAGCTATGTTCAAATATAAATGATATTCACATCAGTATGAACACTAGAACTTGCCTTCAGTATGTTAAGTCCATTGATGATCATTGAATGATTAGGGGGCTTGACATGGTATGGGGTTGTATGACTGCAGATGCCCATGAGCGTGATACAGACCTTGACCTCACAGCAGATGAAATTCTGGCTGATGGGCTTGTGTACAGAGACAAGAAGAGTCCAAAGGACCAGACACAACTGGAGGTGGCAATTGGTGATGGAATGGAATTTACCATCCATGGTGAGTGTTTATGAGCGTACATTATTTACAGTTTGGCATGACTGATAATTACCAGTTTGTCTGTCTTGCATTTGAGGATGTCAGTTTAATTTTATCTATAGAAAGACATCCTTAATGAAGACCTGTCCTCTCCCTTCTGTCTCTTCAGAAAATGTGGGAGGCTGTATTTTGTGCAGGATTTGAGGTTTTCATGGTGAGATGTCTGAAAATGACGTCTTCTGGGTTATGGCACTGTTTTACCAGACTACATGGTGCCACAACCCAGAAGATAGCCACCTTTTTATTTTATATGTTCTTAACCCCTTAAATTTATAAATTGAAGTTTATATGTAATGCTCAGACAGACTTCAAACGAGTTTCTTGTCAAACGCAATAAAATCACATTGTTACAGAATAAGTTTAAACTGACAATTTTTGAAGGCATTTTTACACAGTGTGGCTTTATTTGTAGTCATTAAGTAGTGTCTAATGTTGTATTTTCATGATTAGCCAAAATTCTGATATGTGACTGTTTTATAATTTCTTGAGTAGGTCAGTTTGTGTTAAGTAGGATTTGAGGTTTTCACGGCAGTGAGTCTGAAGATGGCTATCTTCTTGGTCATTAGTGTCATGTAGTCTGGATAAAGTTTATGAACATGTCAGAGGTTCTTGCTGCCTCCATCATCAGGGTGATGAGTAACAAACTTACTCATTTTACTCATGCCTCTGAAGAGTTAGCAAGGACCTCTGAAATGGTGGTAAACTTCTACCATATTACACAGTGCTACAACCCAAAAGGCAGTCATTTTAAGTTTGTGTCCCGATAAGAATTCTGTTGTGGAGTTAGTTCATTGTTAATGTCATAATTTATGTTTTTTATATATTTTCTGAAGGAGACTTGAAAAGCAAATTGAAGAAGGATAATAAACTGTTAATGAATAACACTCAGGTGATTGGCAACTCATTTCAAGGGAATCACAAAGACAATCGGATAGAGAATGACTATTTACATAATCGGCCTGAGGAGGACACATTAAGGTAAGTGAAATTTATGAAGATTGTTCTTCATTCATTAGTCTGTTTTGTAATTTTTCTGGTTAATATTATATGAAAGTACCCTTTAATTTTGTTGATTGTCATTAGAAAATGCAAAATTCAAATGGTTACTGCCATAACTAACACAGTAAAGCATAATGAATCAAGGGGCAGATAAATTAATTGGTATGTTAGTATCAGAATACAGTGAAGTTAAGTGGTGTGATCTGTTATTATTTTTTATTATTTAAATTTTATTTTATTTTATACTAGTACGAATACATATGGAAGCCACAAAAACGATCCATTTAAGGATGAAAGCCACAAGGGAAGTGCAGAGACAATGGATGGGGAAGAGAAGAAAGATGCAAGCAAGGAAGACCTTGATCAAGAGGGAGGTAAGTGTATCTTGTATACAAGATGTATGTATGTATGTGGGTATGTATGTATGTGTGTGTGTGTGTGTATTTATGTGTGTGTGTATGTATGTATATATGTATGTATATATGTATGTATGTATGTATGTATGATGTGCTTGCTCCATACAATTAGACCTTTCCATACAAAATTTTGAAGAAAACATTACATCCTTGATTATTTTTATTGTAATTTCCACTGCATGAAAAGGCCACACATAGTTTGAAATTTTTAAAGATTATAGGAGAGGTATCATGTAACTGACATCTGTGGACTTAGGCACATAATTTTCATAATTGGTTCCATAGAATGTGTTGTGGCACAGTAAAATTTGGTAGATAAATCTGTCTCTGAAATTCTGTTTACTTTTAAACAACCTCAGAAATTTGCAGTATTACCACAATCAAAATTCCATACAATATTTATATTCACATTGTGCCCCATATTTTGCAATGTACAAAATTTCACTGACCTGTTATTTATTTGTTGTTGGGGAAATATATTCTGAAAGCTCTGTAGCTTTACTTTATTAATTTTTTAAATATGATTTTTGTGTACTTTAATACAGTGGTTGATTATTTTAGTGTACCAAATTTTACATTCCATGAATATTTAAGTCTTCATCCTATCACTATAAATTCAAAAGATTTTTTGGAGGTGATTTTCTTTATATATAAATTACTAAACATAAATTATCATACTTTTATGTGATCATCAATCATTCATATTTTAAGGATCCTACTTTGATTGCCTCTAGTGTGTGTTGTTCCTACCTGTAAATTCTAGATAGAAATCGTTGAGTACAAGAATTTAAAAAAAATTACATCAGTTAATATGATCTGACTTTCATGAAAATCTTTTAAGGTTATTAATGGCGGGTACACAACATGCATTGTTCTGTGAGACTGCTTTTCTATACACAAACCAACCTAAAAAAATGTTAGTAATTTTAACATTTTCAGCTGCTTTTCAGAATTTGTACAATATTCGGTAACTGAAAATATCAACTGCAAAAAATATAAATTGATATTTGACTTAATGGCATGTCATAATGTCCAAGTTGTGGCCATTAAGAGAGTTCTTGATCAAATTCCTTGTGATGTTTGATGAAATTGTGTTCCAGTCCAGTGATATCTAGGTCTGATCATTTTAGAATATATTGTGGCTGGGTGGGGTGTTGTGTTTAATCTCATATGAGTAATCCTTTCAGATCCAAAGCATCAGGAATAAGCAAACTATCTTTCAGATGGTGTTGGTTTGTTGATAAAAAATATGGAGTCTACATAAAAATATTAAAGTGTTAAATTTATACTTTATTCATCTTCTTCCATTTCCTTCTGCCCCTTCTTTATCTTTCTCCATTTACTGTGGCAGAAATGATTGCTGAAGTATTGCAAGGATACAGACACACCCATTTGTGAAATAAGAGATTAAATATAAGGGTGTTATGATGGCATGCAAATTAAATGATGCCCTGGCCTTCACATTGTGTGTTTAGGGTATGAATGAGTTAATGAGAATTTGGAAAGTAAGTAAATGTTTGGTTTCAGATCCTGAGGAAATTGGACGAGAGGGAAACTTGGATGAGGCCATAGTAGCGGATGCAATCACCGAGACAGATTCTGATTCTAAATATCCTGCAGACTGTTGCCCTGATAAATGCTACAGACGCTTCCCCTTTCTTGCTGGAGATGATGATTCTCCTTTCTGGCAAGGATGGGCCAACCTCAGACATAAAACCTATAAACTCATTGAGAACAAATACTTTGAGACAGCTGTAATTACCATGATTCTGCTCAGTAGTCTTGCCTTGGTAAGGTTTCACATTGACACAGTACTTTTTATTTACTTATCAAACAATTCATAAGCATTTACTAACATAAAAACAGATTTTTGCAAGGGAACCTGGTAGTATAGGGGAAGATCCTGGCTTTCATTATAGGTGTTAGGTTTGAGATCTGCCATGTCCAATGCAGATATTTTGGAATATGCCTTTATCTTCCATCTGACTTTATGTATGACAGGATCCAAATTAATCTGTAGGATTCCCTCCAATCATTATTATCATCTTCACTACTGTCAAGGACAAACTGTAATTTTCAGCTACTGGATGCTTGCATGTGAAATGTGGATTCTTACTTTCATGCCAGCCAGGTAGACATGTAATTTCTGTGTGCATTTCTGAACTAGTTTCTTTGCTGATTTATAAAAATATGGCAATACACTTAATATTAGAGGCACCAATACTGCCGTATCAGAAGCACAAATTTTTCCACTACCACTTGTGATTTAGTTCAAAACACCCAAATTTCATATCCATGCCAATAACATTTTGTTTGGTTTATTACTGGTATTCAGCAGCAGTGTTAAAGGTATGATGATAAATACTGACATTGTTGTTCTTCTGGATTTTGTTGTCATGTACATTCGCGGGTAGATACCAATGTTTTTCTAAATTAGTCCACATTGTCATAGCCTATAAAAACAACACTGTCATCTTCAGTGTCATAAGAACACCAAATCTCATAAGATAAACTCCATTTAAACAGAGTAGCTATGTTAGTGTTGAAAATAAAATCAGTTGCATTAGTCTTCCACAGTTTGTACATCAACTTTAATAACCATACATTTCAGGCCCTTGAAGATGTACATCTTCCTCAACGACCAATTTTACAAGACATCTTGTATTATATGGACCGTATCTTCACTGTCATCTTCTTCATTGAGATGTTAATCAAGTGGCTTGCTCTTGGGTTCAAAATGTACTTCACAAATGCATGGTGTTGGTTGGACTTTGTCATTGTCATGGTAAGTCTATTGTTGCATGAAGTTGAACTCGTGATACTTGTGAAATTGTAGCACTTATATATCATAATAATTTTAAACAGCTATTAAGTCTAAATTGTAATTAAATTTGTGATTTTCAGAAATTTATAATTCATTTATTGTAATAATTGAAAGGAAAGCTTTCTTTAGGTAATTAAATTTCAATGATTTATTTTTGAAGTATATCACATGATGGACTTCTTCACTGCATTATCAGGAATACTTTCTCTTTTTCAGACTTCCTGCAAAAAGTTAAAATTGCTTTTAGTCCCTCGTAGTAGCACTAGAAGTCTTGGTCTCTGAACTGCATGATATGTAACTTTAAAGTAGATTTATTTAAATTGTTTGTTGTTAAAATATGTTACAATTCTCTAAATAATTGAATTTTTACCAAATTGAAAAGAATATTAATCCCATAATTGAGCAGGTAAAGCACATTTCAATTTCATTTGGGAGGTACTTTGTTAAAATCTCAGCTTTAAGTAGCTGTTCTGATGGTTTATATATAGTTCTTTCTACTTTATTCCTCTTAATGTCAAGTTATGTAAGGTTTGTATACTTATTTGTGAAAGAAGGGCTTGAGTACACCAAATCATTCATTTAATATTATTTTCAAATAAGCACTAAAACTCTGGCTGTTGTTTACTTCTAATGTCATACTAGGGTATTATTACAACCATTTTCATTCAGTGTTAGTAGCTTCACAAAGCTGTCATTTCAATGGTCTGGCAGAATCGGTAATATACTTGTCTGTTATAAGGGTATTTTGTAGTCAATTTATGATGTCAACAGATGACATACTTCATTCCTTTCATTACTGCAAGCTTCATGGAGTCTTAAACCTATTTTTAAAGTGTAAGGTGCAAGAATACCAAAAAGGATAACATATGTACAAAAGTGTTATTACTTGAATTTCATATTCTTCGTGAATGCATGGGAAAGAAAGGAGCGCCTCACATATCACTAAGTCCACAATTAGCAACAGTGACTTATTTAAATTCTGTTCCCATGGTTTATCCATCTTTTAATAGCCTGAATGATATAATATTTGTCTTTGGCAAGTGATTTAAAGGGAATAAAATTACACAATTATGAAAAAAACATTTTATATTATCTATAAAAATGCTCTTAATAAGATACATTTCAGACAATTATTTTAATTTTTAGCCCAATATTTTATTTTCCTGGTCTTCTTTGATTGTTGTCCCACATAATAGAATAGAAGTCTTGGTGATCATGATCAATTTATTTCATGACCTGTGTCCTGTCTATCTTTTTGGCATTTATTTGACACATACCATTAGGGAAGGCTTTTTTCATTTGGTAGGTCATGTGTTCTATTAGGACATAAAGAAATGTGAAGTTTCTTGTGTTAAAGCCATCAGTGAAGTCTATGTTGATGATTTCCCCTGGTTTGTGTCAGCTGTACTCACATATGTAATATCGTTAAATGGAAAAAAATACTTTCTGTTCCCGAGGAACAGCTGAACTGACATGGCATTCTTTTTGTAAAAGTTTGCCACCAATGTTTATACATCGATGACTGCAGTGCCATGCTTCATGCATAGGTACAAAGTATTAATTGACACTAAATCTTAAAGTGCTAACTAATACTCTCTAATAAACTGTGTTGTGCTACTACTGTTATTTTGGTCACAATAAATGTTAAAATGCACACCTTCTTGTGTCACCCCCCACCCCCATTCAGACCTAGTGGCTTGTCATGTGTTCAAATAAATGGACCTCAAAGGATACTTTATTAGTCTCAGCCTAATATTTAAGTCAAATACCAGACCAAGTCTGACAGATTTTAAACTCATAATGAAGTTATTTCAGTAGACTAGAATCAGAAAGAGGCATAGGGATGTAGGTAATACCAAATTTAAATGCTATTTTCATTTTGAATCCAGGCATAACTTGTTCCTAATTTTATTTTATTGATTATTTTACTGTTCCTGTGTCATGCAATTTCTTAACATTTATTTAGCTGGATTGTGACCTGTCAGTTTTAAACAGAACATATTTTATAAGATCCTGCACACATAAAAAAGGAAGCAACATTTTAAATTGCATTTAAAATATTTATTAAGGAAGTTGATCACATGCTTATTCTTTCACAAAAATTAAACATTGAATTGTGGTATGTGTTCATTTTATTTGATGAGTTGTAGTTTTATCCTTTTCTTATACATTGTTATTCTGTCACTGGTAGGAAAATTAGAGATGTATTAAATATTTCTGTCTACAGGGACATTATATTATTTTAGTTGCAACTTGATTCATAACCAAGTGTCTGTGATATTGATTTAATGTTGTATTTTCATGCTAATTTTTTCACTAGGCTGCAAATTGAGGCTGAAGTCCACAATCTGAAGCTGGTGTATTTTATTTAACAGCAGTAGCCCTTGCAGGAAATGATTCATGAGCATTAATTGACAGTGGGGTGTAATTACAAACAATAGTATAAATTTTATATACTTTTTTCATGAGGTGTTTGCATTTTTGTTAAATAGTTTTAATAGAGACATAATTAAAAGTGTTACATTTTCCAGTCATCTGAGAAAGAAAGATAAATGAAATGTTTTGAAGTTGTATATTTAAGCCCAGTATGTAAAGTGTGGTGGTGTGCAGTCTTATGTCATATAAATGTATTTTTTGTTTTAAGTTGTGCCCTGTATCAGTTACAGTTGTTCTATTTAAATATACTAATTTAAATTAGAATTTGATGTTCTCACAGCAGTGAGTATGAAGATGGCTGTCTTCTGGGTAATAGTTCTGTGTAGTCTCTTAGATATTTAGCAATGTTTCAGAGGCCCTTGCTGCCTCCATCATCAGGGCCTCCATCATTGCTCTGATGATGGAGGAAGCAAGGACTCTGAAATGTTGGTAAACTTCTACCAGACTATATATGGTGCAACCCAGAAGACAGCCATTTTAATACTAATTTAACTTTTAACATGGTTGAATATTTGCTTATGGGAAAATGTTATCCTGCATGGTAAAATTAAAGGTTAAATACAGGCAATTCACACTTAGCCCCATTAATTGTTTCCTGAGGGGACTAGCATTATTTGGAAGAGTGATGAATGGTTATAATAATTGGGTTCCCCAACTAGGACTGTACCATAAACTATCTTATTTAAACATTTCAATGAATGTAAATGGTTTAACACAATTTGTGTTTTGTAAAATTGAATGTCATATCCAAACAAGTGTTTTAGCAATATAGTGCTAAGTGAGTGTTGTCTATACTTTTATATAGAATATAAATTCAGCTGTCTATTCTCCACTGAATTTTTGTTTGACAGAGTCCCATAACTGCACAGTTACAGATGTGTGTCATAAACATTATGGAAAAGAGAGACTTGTTTTTTGCAGTGACTGAGGAATGGTGCATCAAGTGTGTTGAATCCTGCATTAACCAACTGTGTTTTGTGTGACTAACGTAATTTTTCCATGGTGTAGCTGTCTCTGATTAACCTTGCGGCTATTTGGGCCGGTGCGGCTGATATTCCCGCGTTCCGCTCCATGCGGACCCTTCGTGCACTGAGACCATTGCGTGCAGTCTCACGCTGGGAGGGCATGAGAGTAAGTAAAGAGATGAGGTAACATGAAGTGGACCTCGCTCTAAGGGAGGGACAGGGTGGGCTGGAACTTTATGCACCCAGTGGGAAATTTGCAAGTAAGTTGTTTGAAAAATTTTAACAAATTAGAAATTCTGATGAATTGATCATATTTTTTAGATGGGATTCTTACCAGCAAAGTACTTTGGTCATGTATAAATTATTATTATTGTCATATTCAAGATCAGAATTTATGCTGTAGGAAATTTTCAATTTATGTTTGCTGATTGTACTCTCTATTTATGAAGATTTCTGGTAGACTTCTCCTTGTATTAATTTATGTGTAATTTCTCTATAAATGTGTCTATATTTGCAGCATAGAAAATGAGAGAAGATTTGTTTAAATTTTAAGTTTTAATTGACGTTTTGATTTTGATTCATTTAAAAAATAATTTTGTTCAGTTAAACATATTCTTTCAAGCGACATGGCTGTTCTGCTTTCTCTTAATTTTGATATCTCTATTCCATAATGAACTTTGTCAGCTAGAGATGCAGATATGTGTCTATACCTGGCAACATTTATTATGCAAAGGCTATTCTATTAAATAATTCGTGGACCCTCAGGCTGGCGAGTAATAATTCCATTTTTTTCTTGACTTTCACATATGTCATATTTATTGGAATATGTAGTCACTCACATGACTGTTCACTTACTTGATTTTTCCTGGGTAATATTAGGAATGGGTAGGAATTGTGATCCTTCTCCCTGAGGCAAACTCAGGTTTCCTTATTTTTACTATTTCTCTCTGTAGAGCTGTCTGTTTCCTTTCCATCCCCAGCTCTCATATTCCTTGCTCATTGTGTTTTGCTACATTCATCGTTGGATTCGTCGATGTTGTGATTGCACATTTCTTCACTGTCTGACTGACATAACTGACTGTCTATAATACTTTTTGACATTTCCTATTGCCACCAAGAAATAAACCGTTATGGAAAACGCTTTCCATGTACAGTATCTATGTGTGTTCGAGTGTGGATGTGTGACCATGTACATCTGTCTGTTTCAGGTATTGGCTCTCCTTCTACAATACACTGTGCAATATATGTATGTTTGCAGTATTTTTGTTGTTATTTGTTTTGATTGATGTGTTCATGATATTCTTTAGAAGTTGTGCAACAGTTGTAGTGTAGTGGGGACAGGTCTGTGCTTGTGTTCTGCTGGAGATGTAAAGATACAATGCCAGGGCATAGAATATAATAGATTTGGGCTGTGTTTCAGGCATAGCACATTCACTATGGTTTTCAGGGTTTTAAATAATTTCAAAATACATTATTACACATTGTGTCAAGGGTAGTTTAATGACAGTATGTGTAATGCAAGCTGTTGTACTTGCTTAATTGCTGAATCGTTTCATGTCTGCTTTAAACATAAATGCCATGTTAAAGGTTACAGAAATGTTCTTGTTCAATGCCCTGAAGATTACAACAATAAATCAAGAAGATTAGTAAGAATAGCTGTGCTTTGTATAAATTGCAGATGCAGTCTGGTTAAGGCCTTTTATCTTAAAATTTGGATTGGAATTTATAAATTTATTGTATTATTTATGAAAATTCAAACTCAGAATTAATTCTTAATGCAGAATACAATAATGGACACCATTCTTAAGTGATGCCACACTTACTCAACTTATATGGATGTACCTCCCGTAGCTTTGTGCATAACTCTCATGTTGTGTGTTGAAAATGTAAAAAATACCAATCATTGTGCTTCTCCTGCTTTCTCCTTACTTCGGATGATGTGTCATTGTGTTTGCTACGGGATGAACTCCACAAGCGTGACATCATCTTTGACACATGGTGGATGATTGGGTGAATCCTTCATATAGGTCAGCAAGTTTTCCTGCCGTGGTGATGGTAGTGGATGTTGTGAATGTGATATGCTGCTTTTTTTCCTTCATTTCTGTCTCAACTGTACATCTATTTACTTCAGGTCTCGCTCATAAACTTCGTAGCATCCTTGGTTGGGGCAGGAGGCATTCAAGCCTTCAAAACAATGCGGACCCTCAGGGCTCTTAGGCCTCTTAGGGCTATGTCTAGAATGCAGGGGATGAGGGTATGTACCCAGCAGTCTCAGGGGACTTTGGAGGAGCATCATGACCTCACCTAGAGAATGCTATAGGAGGTCATGTTAGAATAGGTTCTTTACGTTTTCACTTGTTGACTTTTCTTGTTTTGGAAGTGATTGGATACATTGGTGAATTATTTTGTGTGAGACAAAACTTTCATGAAATCAAATTATTTTATTTTTGTATGTACACATTCATGTGCCAGAGATGTCATTGGTTTGATTTTATAAGTTTATGGTATTAACAGTAGCTGCTGACACACAGATCTACACATAGTGACTGCTGGAAACCATTGACATTTTATTTAAAAATAAGACAATATAATTCTGTGTATACACTTTTTAAGGTTTGTTATTATTAATGTATACCTCACAAATTATGTAAATTAAGCAATTGGGTATAAGACTACTAGTTAAAAAAAAGTTTCACAAACATAATCTTAATACATGAAAGTGAATAGCTGCAAATATATGGAATACCAATTCCCTCTCATGGCTTGAAGCTCTTATTAAACTGAACATCCACCCTCAGTTTCAGTTGTCATCATCATCATCATAATCTAGAGTAATGGAGTTTCTTCATTGGCTACTCCCAGTTAGTAGACAGTAGATTCCAGCACAGCCAAAGGCTATGTTGTGTGAATCGTTTTCTAGTGGTGTGCCTCTAACATTAAGAAACAAACAAAAAACATTGTTTATATTACTGCTTTATCTTTTGGGAGTGAGCCATGTTGAATATTGAAAATTATCCAGTGTTTTAGCAAACATTGCAGTTGTCATCTTCAGGGTGAGTATGTATTGGCTGGGTATTTTTGGAATCCTTTCATCACCTGTTTTCTTTAACCATGTGCTCATGACCAGTTGGACAGCAGCCCACTCTTACGAGACAGACTCACTACTGTGAAAACCTCAAATACAGCCCACTCTTATGCTTCATCAATCAGCACCATCAAATGCAGCTTTCCACCTACTGCCTGCCTTATATAAGGCTTCCAGAAATGCCCAACTATTATATATTGATCTTGAAGATGATAACTGCAATGTTTGCTGAAATGGATCATTTAAAAACTTTTAATTTCACTAATATTCAAGAGCCATAGTTGTACATTGAACTCAGCCATGAAAATATAAGGATAAGAAAGAACATTAGTTACAGACAAGGATACTTTATTGTAAGAAGTTATCAACTTTGTTATTATAAAAATGGTGAAAATAATTATGTTATTTTTATTTTATTGACCTCTTTCTATGTTTCGAAATGCCATAACATATGAGGGGTACCCAATATTTTTATAGGTATGAAGTACATGAAGATGTAACATATAGGTTGAGGATAATCATGTCAGGTGCACAGGATTTTCATTTATGTAGCAAGTTTGAATATGAGGATAGCGATTGAGTATTTCTGAAAGTACTAATATTATTATTGGAATTGTATTTCAAAAGTCATATCCTGAATATACAAGTAGTGGCACACAACATCAGATATATTTTTATGCACTGTTTCAGGTTTTTCATAAATTCTTAATTAAAATATAAGTTTTATTTTAGTAAGGCTGAAATTTAGAACATTTATTGACCAAAAGTAGCATTGTTTGCTGTGTCTGTATTATAATTGCCAGGGCCTGAGAGGGATCACAGGAATTCCAGTATTAATCTCATATTTTATATTGTATTTATAATATAAAAATATTTATATTGATATCCAAGAAGCTTGCACATTTTTTGCTATAACAGAAATATAAATGTAGTGAGGGTTGGTGTATACATCATGTTTTATTAATAAGTTATGTGTCAGTGGACTGCTAGTTTTTATCAACAGTTGTATTAAGTAAGCATGTGGTTTTAAATATTATTTATGATAATTTCCAACTTATGATCTTGGAGATGGTACAATAATATTAAAAGTATAGTCTTAAATTTTACACATCAAAATTTACAATTATTTCACATGATATTTAAATAATAATTATTTGTTTTAATAATATACTTTAAATCTCTTTCTATGTTTTTAGTAACAGAAACTTGAAATAAAGCATTTTAAAGTCTCCTTGAAAGGCCTCCATGAGACTTTGGGAGTAGATTGCTTGAACTGTACAATACCCTGAGTCATTGTGTATCTAGTATATAGCATGTTTGCTTGAATATCTTTCTTCTTGAATCTGCAACTTATTCAAGATTTGTTAAATGTTTCTCTACATTATTTTGCAAGCACCTATACCATGGCTTCATTTTCATGTTGGTGGATGCAAATACCTTGCTTTCATATTTATTCCTTAAATAGACCCTGCAAGCACCCACCTTAAATCATCTTGCAACATTATTGTTGAATTATTTTCACTCTCAGGGGGTAAGGAGTATGATTTATTATTTCACTGGATTTCTCACTGTAGAAAGACCATGGCATAATTTTATTGGATTTCTGCAATGGCTAATTCAGTGAATTTGAAATAGTTACTAATGAACTGCATAATATAATATCTAGTTAATTTTAAGCATGTTGTATTTAATCTGCCTAGAAAGTAAAATTAAAATCCGTATAGAATAAATTGTATAAATATATTTTCTGGTCATTACAGGGTAATGACTTATTTTCAGATGTTTAAATATAATACCAAGTGAAAGTGGAAGTAGTTTGAAAAAATATTTCTCTGCTGCATTACACTTATACCAATCACAAACCTTACAGTTCACTGTTGAATGCATTACTAGAATTCAATTTATGCAAGATTTTAGAAAGCAAAGAAATAATCTTTATCTCATAAGTGTGATATTTTAATTTGTGCTGTGGCTAATTAAATGTAACTATTAGGTACTTTAATTTCATATTTCCCCCATATTTCATTTTATATAAGCATCTTTGTATTAACACTTTTAGTTTCCAAATTACTCAGAAATAGTACATGTAAATAATTATTCTTTAATGTCTGTGATAAAATGTTTAAATTTAAAGTTTGCCTTAAACAAAACTGCAGTCTCTTTGATAATATATCTCTTCAGAAATGATTTGTTAGATTCATTATTTTGAGTTATGTTGACATACTGCACCTGTTACATATTTTCTTGATAGAAGCATAGCAAATATTTGTGTTAGTGTTTTTCTGTGGTCATGTCACTGACATGACATACTGCTTCTGGAAAGGTTTTCCCAAAATATTTTTAACATCCAAGGAAATATATTAATTTATCTTTAAGTAGAAATTTGTGTCACAATATTTGGAAGAAATTTGTCTACTCATTTATATTTCTTTAGGTATGTTTGCATCTTTACATAGTGTTTGTTAAAACTGCCCTGTCTATCCATCTGTGGTATGAAATGACTCAAGAATGGCTGAATGGATTTTCGTGAAATTTAATATTGGAAAATTTGCTAAAATTTGTTGACACATTTCACTTTTGTTTAAAATCAGACAATATTGGGCCCTTTACATGAACACCTACATGCTTTCCTGAGCACCAAAGTGATTGGGTGGAGAATCTCCAGTCTATGCTGTTATCATGGTTGCTGTACTTGGATACAGGTCAAATTCTGGCAAACAAGCCAGAATTATATTATTTTGTGTACATTTCCTAACTTGTTAATTACAAACTATTTAGGAATAAAAATAGTCTTGCTTTCAAAATAGTGTGGATTATTTTTAATGTTTTTTAAAACTTTTCCAGAAGTGATTTGACAATTTGAACAATATGACATTGTTGTTGGTTTCACTTAGGTTACTTTGAATGTTATGGACTTTAGAACTTATTTATCCTTCTAGAGTCATTGAATCAGATTTTCTTTCTAAGGCATATTTAGTCTTCACAATACTGTCTTAATAAAATAACATTAAAAAACACTTGTCAGCTCATGAAGCTGGAATCTGAATTTGCTATACCGTTATTCTTTTAGTTGACACCACATTATCTTCTATCTGTTACAGAGACATGACCTGTGTATATCCAGTGGTTGACTTATGTTCCATTCCATTTCATAGTTTTTTGATAACATTTCTTATTACTGTGAAATTCTTTCTGTCTCCTGCAGTGGCTCATTCATCTTAAGGGAATTAATATTATTATATATATTAGAATTCCAGTGACTTTTTTCCTTTGTGTTAAGAGGACATATAAATGGAAAAGTTTTTATGTATGAAGAATGGCAAGTAATGTCATAATAGCAGTAAGTAAGTTTAATTGAATTAGGCAGGTAAGCTTTACCTATCTTGAAGCTTGAAAGTATCTGAATAAAGTCAGTGTAATTAAGATAATGTCTATTGAAAATAAAATTGAGACTTTTATTTAAATTCTATAGCATTTATTATGTTCTTCTTCATGCACTAAATTCATATTTTAGTTTTTATTTTATGTGGAATTTAGAGTTAGATTAGTGAATGACAGCTTTTTTTGATTTCAAAGTACAGCAGTGAAGTTTAGTGTTGCCTGCACAAACCCCCATGTTTCTAGAAACAGTATCATTATTGCTCAGCTATGAACAAGATATGTGACAAAATTACATTGTTATTATATCTAAATTGCGTGCATTTAGTGCATGCTTTAGATACTATTGCATGTTTATAGTCAGGGAATAGATTAGTTAATGTACTGTAAAACATATGATCCAATACATTTATGAAAGACATTAATATTATAAAAACAGGATGATCAGAGGCTAATATCATACAAATTAATGAACATAATTGCCTTATGTAGGTGATTTAATATTTAAATATTTACAGAAATATTTTAATAAAGTTTGATTTTCTAAAATTTAAAAAAGTAGTATTGATATTTTTAACTGATGGTTAAAACTGATGATTTGCTGAATGTTATGAGTTTATTTATTTCACAGTTAGCAGCAGACACTTATGTAAAACACAGTGATTGTGTAATATTCATATAATTAACGATAGATATATAGAACAACATCACCCACAGTATCTAATTCTGATTACATAGTATAAAGTTTATCATAAATTAAGGTACAATTACTATCACTTGTCTCTGCATACTAAGCATACCCACTTGACATAAAGCCTTTTATTACTAGGGATCCCACCATGCTTTGTATGCAATACAAAGAGTTCCTTTACAGTTCTTTTTGCATTAATGACAGAGCTTGGTTCAAGGAAGTTCTACTTTTAATGCTTAATACTTCATTATGTCTTTATGAGACTCATTAGTTTCATTAGGTAACACCAGTTTACAAAAAAATTTCTGTACCAGTAAAATGTTAATACATTATGCTCCCATGAACTTATCTGCTATTCCATACAACTAGGTTTATTTTCTTGATTAATTCCCTACTGCCTTCAAATTTCCTGAGTTTTCTCAATCCTGAGAATTTAAAATTTTGAAGATTAAGTGATGAGTAGAATGATACATAATGATGAAAAAAGAACACAAATAAATCTGTACACCCAGGTTTTTGCATACCTTCAGCTGTGTAGCTACTGATTATTGACTGTTTTTCTGGGAACTTTCTCAATATTAAGTTTTTACTGCATTCAAATGGGCCTGAGCTGATTTATTTTACTGTTATATTCAAAAAAGACATTTGACAATGTATCAGGATTATTCCTGTTATAATGATTCTTATATGTTGAATTATACGTTACCAGTATTTTGTGCCACTGTTTAATTTGTAGAGATTATATAGCACTGAGTGAGATGACAATATTATCTTGGGTGGTAAATACATAAAAACTACAAAGGAACTGGTCATATTATAATTTAAAGTATTAGCCTTGAGGGACTGAGGAAATCTACAAAAGATCTGACTCAGAATAACTAGTAACAAAGCCAGAAATCAACCAGATAAGTGTGAAACACAAACCATAACACTATCTTATTTGATTGTCATTCTGTTGATTAAATGTTGTCATTAGCACAGTGAGGGTTACTTGTATATTTTTGGGTCATTTGATGGATGTAAAGTGCTTAATGTTTATCAATCAGAGAGAAACAAATATAAAATGTCATTCATTACCTTTTGGCAGAAAAAAGCTCAGGTATGTTTTATAAGTACTCTAATCTTAGCCATGGTCTTCTTGAACACAGTCCCCTTAACACAACTGAAGGCTGTCTCTTAACACAGTCATGGTGTCCATGAATATGATTTTCAGTTGCATGATTCCACTGGATGCTAATTATAATCTTGATGAAATTTTGCCCACTGCACACAGTATCACACTGTCAAATAGGGAACATGCTGCTGACAGTTGTTGCAATACATCTATTTAAGACATTGTCTGTCATTTGATATATATTCCATTTGCACAACATTTCAGGAGTTATCTCCATTCCTATCTTCAGGGGAACACTTGTCATTATACTGACAGATTTTTACATGTTTTTTTTAATATATTTAGCACTTTAGTGATAGTTCTTGGTATTAAACCCAGAACACTTAATGCTAGATCTGTAGGCTTGTAGCCTCAGGGATGTAGTGGTTTGCATAGAAGTCTAGTATTCTAAGGGTACTAGGTTAAGTGCTCAGTTCTATTACTGTCTGCACAGCAGGTATTATATTTGTGTGTTACAGTCACAACATTTTTTGGCTAAACGTTATCTTCAGGTTGTTGGATACATGTTGTTATTACATAGATACTGAATTACTGTGGATTGTAGTTGACTAACTTCTAGGTTTGATTGTGACTATTAAAATAATGCTGAAAAGAAAAGAATATTAAAAATATGTGAATTTGTATATATGTGCCTGTAACCATCCCCCTGAAGGCAGGAGTGCATCAGACTTCCGTAATATTGCGTATATTAAATATATCTCGACAGTGGCCATTGTCCACCAACACTGTAGTGAAGCACGTTACTTATTACCATAAGCAGATAGTATAGCCATCAGCTGACTAATATCCAACAAGTTCTACATATTTGATCGGCACTGAAGTATTTGGATCATGACAAAGTATGTGTGATGCTTGCAGGTAGTGGTGAATGCTTTGGTGCAAGCTATCCCCAGTATCTTCAATGTGCTCTTGGTGTGTCTCATCTTCTGGCTCATCTTTGCCATCATGGGGGTACAACTGTTTGCTGGAAAATACCACAAGGTCTGTAACAAGGAATACTAGAAGTCACTTTTATATGTTTTAGTGTCCAAATTTCACAAATAAATTAACAGAATACTAACATAAACTTTAATGGAACACTGACACACGCCTTTTCATTTCAGTCACTAAATTGTTTTTCTTGTAGTAACAATAAAACTGAATGGAGTACTTTCAGAGAAGGTTGTTTTGTAAGTTTTCTTTTGTATTCATTTCCATGTTCTGGAGAGCTGTGCAGTCGGTAGCAGTATATCTTATTTCATATAAATGTTTATATAAAGGGTACTGTATTATGAAAAATTGAACCTGATATGTTAAAGTGAATAAGTGGGCCTAAATTTTAGATGTCCGTGAGTTTTAAAATGTTTTTTAACCTCTTCTGTGCTGTGTATAGGTATGTCACTTAGAAGTATTGACCCTTCTGGTCTGGATTTTGTTGTCAACAGTTAAAGCTGATTAGTTTAATTTTTTTAAACAGTATAAATTATCGTACCACGGAAACATTCTAACATAAGAAGATTTCTTTCTTTGGAAGGTTTTAAATTGTCTGTCTGTCTGTTTATACATAACTTAAGTGGTTGTTTAGTTCAATGTAGCGGGACAGCTTTCCTTTACTTTTTTATTATATAAATTGCATTCATGAGGAAATTAAAAGCAAACTAAATCTGTGGAAAGCTTGCTACTGTGCAGCTTTGTCTTCCCGTCTGCTATATAAAAACGCAAAGGTTGGAATATGCAAAACTATAATTTTACCTGTTTTTCTGTATGGGTATGAAGTCTAGTCTGAAGGTGTTTAAGAACACCATGTTCAGAGAATATTTTGACCTAAGTGGGATGAAGTGACAGGAGTGGAGAAAATTGGGTTCCATAAAAGCCATGCATTTTTTTGACTAGCTGAACATGCTATTAGCTTAATGGGTTCTTCTCAGGCTACCAGCCGTGTAAGGTAATTTAATGGAGAAAATATTTACCCATTAAACCACCTTACACAGCTGGTAGTCCAAGAAGAGTTTATAATTCTTAGTTGCTGTGAAAGCTTCAGATCATACAATACTGTTAGCTGCTCAACAAAGACTATATACTCTGTTGAGTTAGGTGATAATGTTTATAAATGTTTTCTTAATATGGACATAACAGCTTATGAATTAAAAGCACTTCACATGAAGGTTGAAACACAAAATGTGAGGTTTTGAAAACATCTCTAAATTCTAATTTTGATTTTCATGCATTTGTAGAAAGTGATATTCTAAATATTGTACATCAGATGTGAGGAGAGTTTTGTTCATTGTGTTTTGAATAGTTTATTTACATACATGGCAAGGAAAGTAATAATATTCATCATTATGATGTTCCATAATAAGCTTACTCATCATGATACAATTATTAAAAATAGTCTTTTCATCTTCTTAGATGTTTTCTAACCCTATTTTTCTGCATTCATACCTTACATAAATTTTGGAGGGTGGGTTTCTATTAGAGTGCATTCTGTTAACACATTTGCTCAAATTTGTGATAATTATTTGTAATATACAAAACCATCCTTGAAACTGCATTTTGCATTACAATTTGTAAAATGTTTGTTACAGTGTGTGGATGCCAATAGTACAACTCTAAGCTATGAGATCATTCCAGACCGTAATACCTGCATTGCTGAAAACTACACATGGGAGAACTCGCCAATGAACTTTGACCATGTCGGGAAAGCTTACCTCTGTCTCTTCCAAGTGGCTACGTTCAAAGGCTGGATCCAGATCATGAATGATGCCATTGATTCTAGAGATGTGAGAATCACTCTTTATAAGCAGTTTCTATGATTCTGGATTTATCTTAAAAATTGCAACACACACACATACTGTCCACAGACCATGAGAAAAGCCCTTTGGGGAGAAGTCGGTTCTGGTGTGGTGCATACATGCATATAACAATAGAGCACAAATATATGTAAATTGGATTTGAGGTTTTCACATCTGTGAGTATGAAGATGGCTGTCTTCTGAGTTGCAGTACCATATAGTATGGTAGAAGTTTACCGACGTTTCAGAGGTGCTTGCTGCCTCCATCATTAGGGTGATGAGTGATGATGGGGTTAGCAAGGACCTCTAAAATGCTGGTAAACTTCTACCAGACTACATGGTACTGCAACTCAGAAGACAGCCATCTTTACGTGTAAGTTATTCATAAACTTTTTAAGGATTCTGTTAATTCCCTAGCGGTTCCTGCAGAATGTTTTAAATTGATCCAAATTTTTTCTGAATTCATAAATATTTTTGAAGTTTATATGAAGAACTATGAATTAATTAATCATGGTATGAACTTAGTACAGTAACAGACCCCTTATCTGGAGAGCCTGAGACCTAAGGATTTTTTTGGATTTTGGACCTTTCTGCAGAGTATTTTTAATACAGACAAAATAAATACTAAAAATTGTATGCTTTATCTACAATTCACAACTTGTTTTTCATGAGAAATAGTAAAACCTCTAAGATCTGGGGTGATATCATCTTCACATTCATGCCACAAATCAGAAATAATGATTCAATGTCTAAGTACATGTAAAATATTGTAATTTAAGAACAAACACTTCTTTTTTACAGCTATTCAAGCAGCCAATCAGGGAAACTAACATCTACATGTATTTGTACTTTGTGTTCTTCATCATCTTTGGCTCATTTTTCACTCTCAACCTGTTCATTGGTGTGATCATTGATAATTTCAATGAACAAAAGAAGAAGATAAGTATTATAAATTAAATATATAATTAAAAGTTATGTTATGGTTTTGATTCAAATTTTTGACTAAGGACTAGGTTTCCTCATAGGCAGCAGCACTGTGGATAAATTTAATTCCCAGTGGTGTATCTAATAGGCAGACCTTGAGACCCTTGACACACTAGAGACACTTTGTTTATTTAATTATTTATTTAATGATGCACTAAATAGCATGCATTCTTTTGAATATTTTTGTGATGCAAAGTGAATATGTTAATTTATTGTATATGTTGGTAACAAACAAAAAATCAGAATCTGTGTTTGTCACTGCACGCAGGTGGGTCATTAGAAATGTTCATGACAGAGGATCAGAAGAAATACTACAATGCTATGAAAAAAATGGGTTCAAAAAAGCCTCTAAAAGCTATACCAAGGCCGAAGGTAAGAGTGTATTTTAATAATTATAAAAAGTTAACATCCAAATGTTTTATATTTCAAGTCGTCACTGTCAAATAAAATTAAGTACAAAGTTTTCCTTGCTTTAGTGACCAAGTTTCCTTATATTAAATAGATATAAAAACAGTACCACCCCTAAAATTTTGTAGACTTAAATACAAATAATACCACAAATAATAGTAATTAACATTTTATTTTTCATATTGAGATCTTAATAAAATGGTCTCAGGCAAACAGCTTAAAATCATAATGAGATCTTATTGTTACTTTCATTAGTTCTTGGAGCACATTAACTTATTTGGGAATTGAAATTGCTTTAGAATAGGAAAACACCTTGGAAGAAGTGTTAGAAAGTAGAATACACAGATAGGTTAATTTTTGTTATGAAGATGGAAGAGAAAAGCTGAAATAACCATACTCCCAATTTCACCCACCTTATCCCAAACATCCTGACAAATTTTCCATCCACAGCCACTTTCTTTCACGTAATTGGAAAGGTTTGCCTTCCTCCTTCCAGTCCACTTTAGCCTTAGAACTAGTTCTTAATTCCTAAGGACATCTGTGTGTCACATTTTATTTTAAGAACGAGTACTTGTGCATTTATTTATTTAATACGCTTTTCATCTTTTCTCTGGAATTTCGTATTGAAAAAACTAAATGATAGCAATTTTACTTTAATTTTCAACATTTTGTATTACTGTTTTGGTCTGGTGCATCTGTACAATGTGTCTGAAAGCTACTACTGTAGGCACTTTGAGTTTTTATCAAAAGTCACATTCTTATAAGTGTTTTTGATCTATTAGTAATAATCTTTTTTTGTGATAAGTAATGACATGTGATTGAATTGTTAATTTTATTTGATGTTATTTTTCAACAATATTTATTTTAGTGTATCAGTCAATGCAACTCTAGTAATTGAACTTGACGATTCAACAATTTTCATACAAAAGTCTGACAATGGATGTCATACTGATCCAGTTATATCCTATTCTTTCCCCAAGAGGTTACTTTCTAAGACGTTACCCTACCAGAATTCTGTATCCTTTACTTCTTTCAATTTGAGCTGCATGTCTAGCTGATCACATAGATTTTACTTTCTAAAGCTGGGGCCACACAACCGTGCAAAGTACGTCTGTTGTAACGCACATCCTGACGTCCATTATAGAATTATGAAGGGGCATATAGGGTTCAACACACGAAGCACGTCACGATGTGCGTTACAACGGATGTACTTTGCACGGTCGTGTGGCCCGAGCCTTAAACATTATAATACAAGATAATTCCTAGAAAGTATTTCTTTTTATTGACTGGAATTTTACCTCTAACAATAAAATTCTTATATGTGATGCACATACATTTTCAGTTCTTAATATAAGAGGTTGTCATAGGAATGTCTAGGATTTCAAGTTCTCATGGCAGCAAGTATGAAGATTGCTGTCATCTGGATTGTTGCCTCATGTAGTCTGGTATGTGGTATATGGTATCAGTGTTTTAGAAGTGCTTGCTGCCTCCATCATCAGGGCAATCATCCTACAACCAAAAATACATCAATCTTCATTTAACTTACTACATGTTAAATTGTCATCTATATTTCCAGCCTGTTAATATTAGTGTCATAATAATTTACTAATATCATATACTTCTTTGTTATTTCAGTGGAAACCACAAGCAATTGTGTTTGAGATTTGTACAAACAAGAAGTTTGACATGATCATCATGTTATTCATTGGTTTCAATATGTTGACAATGACAATGGACCATTACCAACAATCAAAAAGATTCAGCGATGTGCTTGACTACTTGAACATGATTTTCATTGTGATCTTCAGTTCGGAATGTCTCATGAAGATCTTTGCATTGAGATATCACTACTTCAAGGAACCATGGAACCTGTTTGATTTCGTAGTTGTCATCCTATCTATATTGGGTAAGTTCCACTAAAGATTCATATTAAATGAATGGCCCCATATCATCCCATTCGTTTATGATATAATCCCTAGCGGAACTCACTTGAAATGGCAAGAATGACTTCTACATAATCAGTTACACTAATGTTAAGTTGTCGTACCAAACATTTAAGACACAAAGATACATATATATCATACTGTTGTATTATCACTATTCAAACTACATTTATTATACTGTTACTAAATTTTGAGAATTCAATTTTAATTGAAACCACACATAAAAACATAACATTTATTGGAGTAAGTGGTTGTACGTTTGCATTCCATCTTAACTTCATCTTCTTGCATTTCTCTTTTTAATGAGGTATTGTGCATCTCACTTTTCAACTGTTGGCATGACTAGATTAGTAGGATTTTGAATCTTATGTAGGAAAAATAAATATACTAGGATGTGATATAATTCAAAAGGAAGTAGAGTTTTGAATTATGGGATCCTACATGCTTTTTTAATTTCCATATTACTCACATTACTAGGATATTGTATAATTCAAAATTAAAAATGTTGTTTTGAATTATGATATCCTAGTTACTTCTTTAGTTTTCTTCTTACTAGGATATTTTATAATTCAAATGGAAAGGGCATATTGAATTATGAGATCCTATATAATTTTTCCAGTATTAAATTATTTTAGAATTGTAGTTTTAATTTCAAACTCAAAAAGTATTGCTTAATATTTAGCATGGAAAACACCTATTATAATATATAGTATGAGCGAACACTTTAAAAAGCATGAGATGTTATCTTGAGGAAATAAGATAATGTTTAGAATGACATTGAACTTACAATGTCAAAATTTGTAAGTTATCACAGTTTTATAATTTCAAATACAAATTTAATTCACAAAGAGATTAATTTATTAATTAATTATTGTGTGATAGTGATTTTCAGCATACTCTTAATTCTTCATATTACATTTTTTTGCACCTCATCTCATTTTATCATAAGTAGTAGTTACTAAAGCATGTATTTAATTACATTGCATCACATGATTTTTTAATTAATTAGACAAGTCATTGTTTCTCAACCAGTGGTTTGTGAGCTTGCTTGAGTTTGCCTTGGACTTGAAATTATTGAACTTATGCGTCTCTGTATTTAATATAATTACTTACTTCTCTTTACCATTGAATTGTTTAATGGTATGACCAGCTGAGTGGTGTGAAAGAGAACATCGGGTTTTGGGGCCAGTAGCTGCATGCTTAGAAATTGAGAGAAATGACCCTGTAATGAACTCTCAATACACAGCTTAATTTTAGCTTTTATCAGCTGGCCACACATTGCAGTATCATACCACTAAACCATTAATTCTAGAGTTAAGGTCAGGTTGGCAGCTGGATGTTTAAAGCTTGTACCCATACCAAAAAGGCTAATATTACTTAAAAGTGTTTATTTTTATATTGCAAATAGACTTGTTTAAATGTTTTAGTAATAGTCAGATTTAGTCTATTATTTGCAATTAGGGGACTGCTCGTTCACAAATGCACTGATATTTTTTTACCTGCCCTTGATATATGAAATGGTTGAGAGGCATTGGCGTAAGTGACCAGATTTAAAGTTCAAAAGATAATGTAATAATCGATACATATTATATTAATTTCTGAGAATGTTATATGCCGTAATTGATTGGGACCTCTTATTATTTAATTGTATGGTTAATTGAAGGAATAGGGTCATTTAACTAACCATAAGAACTTGGCTGTCAAGATAGATAGAGGATGCTGGTGTAAGGTTGCATCTTCCTGGGTTGATAGAATGCTTTGTTTCATGAACTTAATAATAATTACAGTATTATGGAGACAAAAATTTGTTCTAAATATTCCCATAATAACAGGTCTAATTTGGTAATGAATGAATCAACAGTGAAATCTGGTCGCTTATTTTTTTTTTTTGCATGACATTTATAATGAAAATTTGTTACAAGCTTCTAGAAATTGAATACAGCTGCTGGAATGGTGATCTATGGGAATACTGTGCCAATGACTCATTGTTAAGGAAGCTAGTGTGGCAGAAAGCCATATTTGATTTTTGATAGTGTGGTATCTGAAAAAAAATGTAATTTTAACATTTTATACACATTTAAATATCTTGTATTTTTACTAAATATTATTTTATCAAATTAATTCATATGGTTTGCTGAGTTCAATGTACAGTTATGTGATGTGTTAAACTGTTGGTCACTATTATAATTCATAAACATATTGTCCATGGTGCTAAAATTGGTTCACAGATTTTCTCTTATTTCCTATGTATAGAAAAATAGAAGTCTGTTTTGTTTGTATTTAATATTAAGTTTGAAGGAAATTCTGTTTGAGATTTGTGAACATAGATCACAATTTCACAAGCATCGCTTCCTGGCGAAGAAATATGTAGGTGTTGTGTGCAATGGAATTAATATATTGTGAATATAAACAGTGTTACAAATGTGGCTCATATGTCCAGGGCTTGTGTTGAGTGACATCATTGAGAAGTACTTTGTGTCCCCAACACTGCTCCGAGTGGTGAGAGTGGCTAAGGTGGGTCGAGTCCTACGTCTGGTGAAGGGTGCCAAGGGTATTCGAACTTTGCTGTTCGCCTTGGCCATGTCCTTGCCAGCGCTATTCAACATTTGCCTCCTGCTCTTTCTCGTCATGTTCATCTTTGCCATATTTGGCATGTCCTTCTTCATGCACGTCCGAGACAAAGGTGGCCTTGATGATGTTTACAACTTCAAGACCTTTGGACAGTCTATGATCCTGCTCTTCCAGGTTACTGTTATTATTTAATTAATTTTCTATTACAAATGGTTTTAATTGGTGGCCAACTGGCTTCCAATAAATATTAACAGTAATTTTGTATATGTATGAAATTTGTTCTATGTTAAATATAGGTATCTTCACTGCAAAACAGACATGTTGTGGCTGAGTGGTTAGCACTCCTGCTTTGTATTTCAGGAGATCTGGGCTTCAGTCTTGGACCATAGACCAGCTGCCCTGAGTTTTCCTCAGTTCCAGGAAAATGCCAGAATTTTACCTCAAATTAGGCCATGACCATTTTCTTCCATATCTTTCACAATTCATCATTCATCATTAATTATGCTATCATTTGATGCTTTTGTTGAACTACTGAAAACTATATTAAATAAACTGCAAAATATATAAAGTAAGATAAAATAGATGGCTCAGGCAAGAACTTGCACAAAGGTGTGACTAGGTTTTAGTGGCTATGGGAAATGAGACACATTGTTTAAGCTTAGATGTTGGTATACTGTAGTTACTGGAATATAAGACAGTGCCTCTTCTCATAGTTTAATTCATAGAAAGAAAAATTCCCAAGGAGTCCTACTGCTTGTCTGAATAAGAACTTGAAAACTGATGGTAGATGGGGGCCAATTGAATTGAACTGCAGCGCTAAGAAAATGAAATATGCACAACAATGGCTGATTGTATTACAGGAGATGAGAGATGTGAAAAAATAGTACAGTTTGGAGGCAATCTATAATTGCAGTCTTAAGTGACATCCCAAATGTGTAGTCATGTTATCAAAAATGGCCACATCATATGTATATATTTTAAAAATTCTACATAATTTTATGAGATTCTTATTTATATGCTTCTTTTGTTTTTTATAAAAATTTAGAAATATATTCTTTTAACATATAAACTACTGAATTTTATAGTGAAGTGGTTGGCTCTCCTGGAAGATTCCAGGTTCAAATATCAGCTTGGAGACCAGCTATCCTGACTGAGGTTTTTCATGGTTTTACTCAGTCTCTGCAGGCAAATGCCAGGACAGTACTTCAAATTAGGCCATGACTGCTACCTTCCACATCTATTCCAATTCATTACTCACTGTCATCCTCTCATCTGGCACTATATAGTCTAGATACTGTCATTAAATAAACTATAAATAAATAAATAAACACAAACTTTGACAGTCGCTAGGTGTAAAATTGGTATAATGAGTTGCTATCACCATTTAATTACTTCTGTGAAGATGTCTGAAATTGTATTAAAGTATTGCGATCTAAAGTCCTTGTTTTAAAATCCGCATATTACAACAGTTGTCTGCTTTTATGCAAGCCTTGAATCACTATACTCTGTGCAGCCTTTCTTCAAAAGCATTGAACTTTGTAGATGGCATGGAATTCTGCGATCCCACACTTTTGAATTTGAATTTCTAAAACTTAGAATTAATAAGCATTACATTACACATCACACATCTGAGGGGCACAGAAATTGTGTTTTTTGTACTTTTAGAACCTGTTGGACTTATGCTGTTTCAGCGATTCTGTAGCAGGAATAGTGAGTGACCTTTAATGTCCTTTCATTGTGTCTTACAGCCATGCAGCTTTACATGTGTCACTCTAGAACAATGGTAAACCGTGGAGTTGAAGTTTGGTGCAGGGGTTTAAAGCACCTTTTCTCATACAATAAATTTTAAGAGAATTGTTGTAATTTATTAACTTAACCTAATATTAAATATGATTTGAGGTTCTTCCAGTGGTGAGTATGAAGATGGCATAGGCACACATGTTGGAATAATATTAAAATGGATTTTACAGAAATAGGTTGTGATTATATGTAATGGATCCAGGTGGCTGTGATACAATGGTGAGTTTTGTGTGCTTGATGGTGAATATCTGGGATCCATAACAAGAACAAGAAACATTTGTGATCATATAAATAAGTATCAGTTTTTCAAAGAAGGCTTCATATCATGGAGTTGTTTATTGTAATTCATTGTTAGTGTGTGAGCATTTTCTAATGCACATTTCTTAAAATTCTGAAATCAGATGTCAACATCAGCTGGATGGGATGGTGTGTTAGATGGGATCATGAATGAGGATGACTGTCGCAAGCCTAACAATGAGCTGGGATATCCAGGCAACTGCGGGTCTGCAACCATTGGCATTGCGTTCTTGCTGTCGTATCTTGTCATCAGTTTTCTTATTGTTATCAACATGTATATTGCTGTCATTTTGGAGAATTACTCACAGGTATATACTATGACATATTTTTCATGTGTTTAGAGGAACTAATTCTACATGCTCATTGCAGCCATTGCTTTATGGTTATCTTGTATGTCTAATTTTTTAACCACACGAACAAAACTTAATAGATTAACATCTAGGACGATGTCAAACTGTTGAACCACTGATGAACTAATGACATCCAATTAATTAATGTAACCAATATTCTTAAATTGTATATGTTTCTTTAGTCTCAGATAGTGAAACATGACTCATCCTGCAAAAAGTAAAGTGCAGTAAAAATTATTCTGTACTAAATAGTTAAGTGATATATTTCCTGGCCTGTCTAAAATATTTAACAATATCTGTGCTTTGTTTAATTCAGAAACAAATTCTGATTTTTATTCCTGTCTATATTCTAATAGTGTATAATTTCAATGGATAAATACTCAGAAGTAGCTTCAGTTGTCAACAGAAGTATGTATAGGACTCACAGATCTCTCAGCATATTCTGTGTTTTCTTCAGTTCTCTCAGCAGCGAGTATGAAAATGGCTGTTTTCCGGGTTGTTGTGCCATGTAATCTGGCAGAAGTTTTCGGACATTTTGGACATGGTTGCTATCTCCATTATCAGGACCATGATATATGCATATTGAAACACTGACACACAAATTTAAATGGAAGAAAAGTTTAATTTCATTGGTAGTATAAAAAGAAACAAATTTATTCATGGCAGAAACAGTGGCAGTTTCTGTGAGAAACACTAACAACTGGAAATGGGAAGAATTACACACTGTCTGTACTTGATTCTTACATTCTGTTATGGCTGACTAGCCTTTTTAGTTACTCTTAGTTTCTGACTTCATATCCCTTTCCATGCTACAATAGTCTTATATGGTAAAAGCATATTTCTTGAGAAGCTACAGTCTGCCCAAAAGAATAATGTCATTTTAAAATTTTAGGATAAATAGGATTTGAGGTTTTCATGGCATTGAGTCCAAAGATGGCTGTCTTCTGGGTTGTAGCACTGTGTAGTTTGGTAGAAGTTTACCAACATTTCAGAGGTCATTGCTACCTCAGTCATCACATCACTGTGATGATATTTTAGTGTAATTTGTTTAATTACCTGCATCTACTTTCTTTCATATTGATCTACATAGGATTAAAAACTGATTTTTTTGTGTCATATTATTACTGAACTTTCAAAATGAGTCATTTTAACTCATTTTATGATCTGCACCTAAATTATTTAAAAATGCACTGATTCTTTTCAGAATATAAAAAAGATTTCAAAATATGTTAAAATTGTTGGACATAACCTTAAGTTACCATCCCCTTTTTTACACAAAAAAGAGCTGGTAATATTATTATATTCTGGCGTATTTTACTGTGACAGATTTAGATTAATGTCTGTTAGCCATTATGTCTTGAAATTATGCTGTGGTGCCACATTGTGATTTTAATTTTTGTTGAATGTGGTCATTCAAATATATTTTTTTTGTCCAATTTTAGGCAACAGAAGATGTGCAAGAAGGTTTGACAGATGATGACTATGACATGTATTATGAGATCTGGCAGCAGTTTGATCCAGATGGGACACAGTATATCCGCTATGACCAGCTGTCTGATTTCCTCGATGTGCTGGAACCTCCACTGCAGATACACAAACCAAACAAGTACAAGATAGTGTCAATGGACATTCCAATCTGCAAAGGTGACCTCATGTTTTGTGTAGACATTTTGGATGCTCTTACAAAGGACTTCTTTGCAAGGAAAGGAAATCCTGTTGAAGAGTCCTTGGAGTTGGGTGAGGTGCAAGCACGACCTGATGAAGCAGGTTATGAACCCGTATCATCAACACTGTGGAGACAGCGTGAAGAATACTGTGCGCGGCTCATACAGAATGCCTGGCGCAAGCACAAGCAGCAGTGTCAGGGGGGACCAAGTGAGGATTCGGACGATGCAGGCGATGACGCGGATCTCCACGATCTCCATCAGACAGCTGTTCTAGTAGAGAGTGATGGATTTGTTACCAAGAATGGGCACCGTGTAGTAATTCACTCGAGATCGCCCAGTGTGACATCACGATCGACGGATGTCTGAGCCAGGCAGCGTCCCTCCCTCCCACACACACGCAACAATTAAAATTAAGCCTTGCTGCCTGCCTATCTTCCTTTCCTGACTGTGGGCTAGCCAGTAAGTTGACAGTGAAATTTGTAGCATAAATTTCGAGCGTCCAGTTGATGTCTTGTGGCATAAGCACCATATCTGTCATCATGTTGACTAGCTTGTGGTAATGCAATCTAGCCCAAGGAAAGGTGAGGAGGAGCCTCTGTCCCTCTTGCATGCCACCTGGACAAAACCATTGGGTTGAGCTGCAGATTTAGTGCCATCTATCTTTGCCCACCTGAATGAATGCAAGTGGCCAAGTGAGCAAGATTGCCGGCAAAGGACAGAGGGAAATTGTCAAGGTACTCTGCAGCTGTAAGCAATATAATGGAATACTAAAGAGGAATCAGGTGAAGTTAATATCTCTATCCCGGGCTTTGCAGTTTCTTCCCCGTCTTTAACAGTTGCTATGCTCTTGCTGCCTGGCCCAGGATAGGATGGCTCTTTGCTGTGAAAGTAGAATAAGGATGAAGTTGGGATTATTGGGACCCAAATGGCTGAGGTGCACGCATGTGTACTGGAACTTTTCATCTGTCCCTATGGGCAGATGTCCGGTCGCGTTGACAGTCACAATAATGCAGGTTATTTATAGTGCTGTGGAGAGCCAAATTTAATGGCATGGCAAGTAATCTCACATCTTTGCTTGATTTTTGTTCTCTGTTTGTTGTGTTTTTTGCGTGTGACATCTTTCTAAGCCCTCCAGCCCCTTGTCACAGGAGATGAAGGGGAGGTTTGGGTGTGGACTTAGGAGGGGAGGGGCGAGCACTGTTAACTAGTGAGGTCTGCTGTCTACTTGTGTGCATAAGCTTCTTGAAAGAAGATAGTTCTTAAAGGAACACAGTACTGAAATGTGCTTTATTTGCAAGACAATTTTTAAATTGATTTGATTCATTCTCCAGTTTGCCAGTGCTAGATATTATCTCTGTAAAGAAGATTCAAGCTTGGTATTGGATAAATGAACTTCACCGCCATCACATTAATTATTTTTGTATTTTTTTTTTGCTAAAGTAATTGTTGGAACACAATGCTTAAATGATAAATGCAACTAGAATTGACTGCCTGTTTGGCAAAGGTTGGAGAGAGATGCCTGCATGTTAATTAGTGTTTTCAATGAAGGTAGGATTGGGAATAACATAAACATGTATCTGTTGTTATTTTTTCCTTCTTATGCAAGCTCTCATCGTGTTTTTCACTTGTTATTTTTCTACACTACTTTTCTTTATGAACATAAATTATTCTTGATGTAACTGTACATAGATTTTCATCCCAGTGTGAGACTAAGTGCAAGTGTTTGTTGTTGAGCTACTTTTTTCCTTCCTGTCTTCAGGGATGAGAGTTCAAAAAATCATAGACACTCCACCATTTCTTTATATTGTCTTCAGCACATTTATACATAAGAGTGACAGCTTTGCACAATTTCAGAGGAACTAGAGATATTCTTGCAGCTATATTTAGTTCTTTCCCTCCCTACAGCCTGCAGGGTATGTGATCACGTTTACCTGTGCAGTTACAAATGGATCTTTTTTCAGCAGAGCTGAATGACAAATGAGAACTTCATTTCAACATATGGCAGCAGCATCTTTGCCTGGAGGTCACAGCAAATAACTTTTTGCAATGCTCAGTTATGTAATGTCCTCATGGCATATATTTTCTTAATGTTATGAACATTGTAATTTATTTATTTATTTATTGTAATGTTTAAAACTCTTACATTCTTATGCTTCAGGGAGAAAGAGTTTATTAATTCAGACACTATCCGTACCTCTTTCTTTTAATACTGCCTGTTGTATCAACCTTCACAGATAGCACTGATCTTCATGCTGTATGTTAACTGTAATATAAGAACATAATTCAAAATGACTAAGATCTGCATAATTTATAAAAATTTTGTGTTGATAATGTGCTTAAAGGAAAGGATAAGCTATTTTGTGAATATTGTTATTCTCACATCAGAATAGTTTTAGTGAAAAATATTTGCTCCTGAGTAAGGAATTTCATTCTGCTTGAAAGCTCCTGAAGCAATATAAACATTAGTAATTATTTATTTTAAATTGATAAGGAAATTGAATGGCAGGTCTTCACTTGTTAAATGAGAGGGGTGTAGCACATTGATACTTATTTTATTGTGAAATCAAACCATTTTACACTCTTTTCTGGTCAGAATATTCAGTTTATTGTTACATTAATGTGGTAATCTTAGCAGGCTGGTTGATGCTATGTTAGATGCATGAGGCCCTGTGTCCCTGACTCACTTGACTTCACTGCATCTCATCATACAGCCCTTTCCTTCCCCTTTTTGGGAGTGTGCATGGGATGCTGAATAGAACAGTCAGGGACTCATCGTGCTGTGCGCTAATAATGGGTATATTAAAAGTTTATTTGTTAAGTTTTATACTCAGTCCCATTAAAAGCAAATATTTCAAAAAAAACTCTTCTGGAAAAAGAGGGAGTTTGGTTTTGATACAAGCTCAACTGTGAGATACGCGCTTCTCACATAAATGGCGATACATTCGTGACTCATTAATTATGTACTTTTAGGATCTCTCTTTCCCCCCATTTCTTCAGAATGTAATGAGACAAAACAGTTTCACAGAACTTGCTTTCTCTACACATTTTGGTATATTTCATGCTAGCAATGCATAAATTGTTTTGAAAATTATTCTGGAAAGGAAAGAAGTCTTTAGTTTTGTAGTATAGGCGTTCACAACATCTTGCAATCAAATCATCAATCTACTGTTGGTGTATGAGTTTAAAATTAAAAGAAAGTTAGAGTGGTCTGTCAGAGATGGAATTCTATTCCAGCTCTCGGTTATATACAGACTTTCAATATAAACTCTTATATTTATATTACGAATGTCATCATATTCATTGTTATTCTGGCTTCTTGTATCAACAGAGAACAGCAACAAAACACAACCATTATTGAACTTTAAATATGGAAGGCTTTGATCTGCTCTAGAGCTTTTTAAATTCTTGCAAAGTGATGCGAGTGTGGGAGTTGTCCGGTAGTCTAAGTAGTGCAGTCGTGTCCAGCGTTTTGTTATTAAACAGTATACATACAACAGTCAGATTGTAGTGGAAGATATGTACATACATTCATGAATACATTCTCTATAAAATTGTTATTTTGTAAACCGTGTGATGTAACAAAACACTCATTATTGCTGGTTGGTTATGCACAAATTGGTTATTGTATGTGGCAGAAGAAGATCACAAATATGCTATTATGTTAACTTATTAAATAACTTTTTAAAAATGAATTATATAACTGGGCTTTAAAAACAGTCATTGCTCAAAGTCTGAAAACCAAAATCTTTGTTACTTTCTGCATTGCTTTTTTCTACACACGATATCCAGATATCCAGTGTTGCAACCAAAATATAAAATAATATAAATAAATAAAATGCATGTCACGAAGTTAGATTGCTTCTAAGGTCTGTGATGAAGTTATTTTATTGAGTTTAACTTTATGAAAACAAAGTTTCCTTGTTATGTGGGTAAGAGTGTGTTATGGTAGTCATAATTAACTAATAACTAATCTATTGTTGATGCTTCTTGGTATGAGTGCTGCCCCATCACACGAGGCTCGTGGCGGTCGATCCTTTCCACGAGGTTCGATGCCATTGTCGCTGCTGTAGGTGCTGTAGACATTTAAGAGTGTTCGGTGCAAAGCTGGTCTAGATACCGAAGACACGCCGCATAAGACCATTGTTTTTATTGAAATGGTAACTAATAGAATTTCATTCAGTCTCATTAAAGTATCTCATATGGCAAAAAAAAAAAAAGAGTTTGGAACACGCAAGTCCGCATACTAGTCGGTAGTACGTGAAATAAACCACTCGCACATTTGATGCATAATCAGTATCTAGCATTATTAGACACTTTTCTAAGAATGTTTGCAGGGAAAATTCTTGTCAGTATCTTCTCCATGACAGGAATTTTTTTAAGAAACAATAATTTCAATAAGTTTAATAATAAGTAATTTTAAACCAAATCGCAGGATTTGGCTGCTTTTTATAATGTACCGCACCAGTAAGGAAGTGATGTGTGCAACTTCTGCGTCCTGTTTATATATTAAGTTATATTTGAATAACAGAGATTATATTATACAATAATTATAAATAAAGTATGCATAATATAAACATACATTACTGTAGGTACTGTATGTTCATAGGATGTATAATAAAATAAAGATAGAATTATGTATATATGAAACCAAACAACGATTCAGTGGGAAGGCAGTCAGCTGTGAGCTATAATTGATTTCATTATGGAAATATGGTTCAGGATGTTAAAGAAAAGAAACAGTATTTTTATTTACTGTAACATTTTTTCGTCTATCTTGCTGTTAACCATCCATTCCTCAGAATCATTACTGAGTCAGAATTTTTTGCCACAACATTGACTGAAAATTAATGAAAGGTAAGTCCACACTGAAGTTAATTAATATTGTTATTAAACATTGTTTATTTACAGTGTTATTGCTAAATATACTAACAATGTTCATTAGTTTTGTCTCTCACTAATGTCTATGTTTATAAAAATGCCTATTCTTGTCCCTAAATTTTAGGTGGGTGAAAAGATGGATAGCTGCAGTGTCTGTTCCTGCAAAAACGATGTTTAAGGAACAAAAAATCTCTTTGTAAAGTATTTTGTGATCTTTTCTGCTGTTGCAGTTCGTGTTTTGACAGTCTTTTGGCACGTGATCATTTAGATTACATACTAATAAGGACAAGATCACATTGTATGGCGTGAAAAATAAATACAGAACGTGAATTTTACAATCACTAACTGCTGTAAGAAACCATAGACCACGCTAATAGTCGAGTTCTCCGTTATCAGTTTCTTCAGTTCACAAGCGAATTAACATTTTCTGTTAAACCTGTAAGTTTTATGTTCTAATACGAGTGAAATTTTTATTCGTGTAAATTCAAGAAGCATATAATTCAACATAGAAATGTTAATGTGATATGAATCATGAAAAATGTTGATCGGCGGCGTTTCTTAGCAGTGTTAATTAACAATGTTAATGTATATACTTGGTGTGGATGAACCATTAGAAGAAGCTTTCTACAATGGTTGAGTCGCAGCATGGTACATTGGAATACCAAGCAGCACACTTCATAGCTTCATCTGGCATCTCGTAGGTTTGTAGAACGTACACACTGCTGCAGTGTAGTGTTGTTTCACAACAGTATCTTACGACTTATAGAAATTTGCATATAAACTATCATTGCAGGGGGAGAATTTTATCAACTCCAAATTTGCATAATTACTAATACAACTAAAACACTAGCCTATATGTCCATCTTACATAATTAAAATAAATAGGTTGGTTTAAAACGTGGAACTCTTTTAATAATAAAAGTGTCATGTTGCCATTTTTCGATTTTCAATTCTCCAGTTCTGCCTTTGTGCTCGCACTCACTTCCTTTATACGATGTTTTCGATTTCACAGTTTGTACTGTAATAACCTGTACATAATACATCATCGAATAAATTTTTGATAACTTATCACAGAATACTGCAATCCGTATTTTGGTGTTAAATCCTTGTTTGCGATGTTTCAACGTGCAGATTGGGACATTTGATAAGTGTACGAGTACACGGGGCCGACACTTAGGACAAATGGCATAAATATTGGAATCTAAGACGATAAGTTTTAATGGCCATTATAAAGGAAATTGATGATTTTAAACTTTCATTAGGTATCATAAAGTTACATGATACTACCAAATGTAAAAAGGGATTAGCATTGAAATGATCCTGGTTTAGTCATGATCCGTGGTTTTCCCAAGCCTCGAATATTGACGGAGTGACAACTCATTTGTTAGCTTTAGTGCCAGCCGGTGAGCAGAGTACAGCTAAGAAAAGATTAATTCAACTGTTGCTCCTGTTTAAGATGGCTGTCGTGTGGGTTATGTCGTGTAGTTTGGTAGAAGCTTACTGATGTTTCAGGGGTGCTTGCTGTCTCTGTCGTCAGATTGATAACCCAGACTGCATGACACAACAACCCGGAAGACAGCCATCTTCCGACTTGCTGGAGTGAGAACCCAAAATCTCATCTGTTGCTACTATTTATTAAGCATCATGACTGGAAAGTTATGGAAAGAGTTGCCTTAGCTTTTAATAAATAATATAGCACTTTTTAGTAAACTGTTATCACATTTTGTGTTGTTTTCTTAGACACTCCATACTAATTTAATACCAATGAAGTACACTTTTTATCACTTATGATGTGATAATAAGTGTGTGTAGATCCTTATTGTAACTGTGAGAAAAAAAATTTCATCCCCCTATTTGCTCCCCAGACAGTTATACATATACTATTCAGTTCAATGTATTGACATACAGAATCAAAGAATATTTTAATAAAAATAAATTGATGGTTCTAGGTATAATTTTATCATTTCATTTTAAGGGTACGCACAGTTGTATATTTTAATTTGATGTTCAAAATTTGGGAAGTTTTTTGTGAGTTCATAGTTACGTTATGTATTTCTGTACAAGCCTTCTTAGGTCTTTTGGCATAAGTCGTAATTTCAAAATTTATATTTTATGAAATTTATAAATCAGAATTTATTAAGTGATACCAGTTAACCTACTCCATGGAGATGAGTCCTCCTTAAGATGCTTATAATCTCTCAGCTAGTTTTGGTGAAATATTGATATTGTTCTGTAGTTGCTGACAATAGTACTGTTATGCTTCCTGAATTCTGGAACAGCAGTCTGAAGATGACTGTCTTATGGGATGTTGCACCATATAATATGGTAGAGGTTTACCGACGTTTCAGAGATGCTCGTTGCTTCCATCAGGGACCTGGTGTAACAAAAACCGGTTTGGTCTTCTGTCCTGTTCAGTTTTCGGCCTACGAAAACCGTCTTTATTCTGACTCAAACCCAGGAGCTATCCAGACTGAGGTTGTAATAATTTTCGTGTTTCTAGGGTTAGAACGCTGATAGCAACAATAGTCTCCTGTCATATCCTTCTCTTCTACTCTTCCATGATAATGTTTCAGTCTTGTTCAACACAAAGACTAAAATCTTTCTCTTCTGGCAATAAAAACCGCAAGGAATTATACACTCTCGGGGCGGGGTTATGACAGTTAACCCGATGTAACAGGTACGGCCGAGAACCACTTAGAGTTATTGTTCACTGTGTTGTAAAATCTGTCTAGAAGTTGCTTTCAAATAGTTGGATATCTCTAGGTGCGTGTAAATTGCAGCAAAAATTGTGTTCTGCGAACATCTAAATTAATTCTTCCTAGAGCGGAGAAGAAGGTTCTTTCTCATCTCCTGCTCGTAACTTTGGTATGTGTCTGAATTGTTTTTATCGTCCGACGATATAGTTTGCTCTGATTTAGTATCTTATTTGTGTTTATTTGTTTTGCGTGTTTTTGTCTGTTCCTTTAACTCGTGCTGACTTTGTACTTGGCATTTGGACTATTGAGTTAACACGCATAAAATAAAATTATTATTAAAATATACCTTAGCATTGTGATGCGATAGTTTTATTTTATGTTTGTTAACAATTTTACTACTTTTTTCAAATAATGTATCTTCTTATGGTACAGCAAACGTGGTTTTTACGTGTGCGTTCATAATTAAGATTTCAGAACAGATTTCGCAGAAATAAAATTAATGTCTTACAAAATAATTAGTTAAAAACGAAATTCTGCTTTTAAATATATGAATGAGAGATAAGTCTACATTCGAAAGTAGCCAATAGCGACCAAGTAACTGCCAATAGCTGTTCTTTGTTTTTTTCTCAACTTTTTGTGGAGTTTATAACCACACTGTCTTAGTGAACAGTTAATTAAATAGAATATGGAAGGAAGCAGTCGTTAAATGAAGGCATTTTTTCGGAGGGACTAAATAAAAGCAAGAAATACTACAGGCAGAATAATAGTTCGTGATTTGAATCACCTAGTTGGGACGTTGTCTGTAACACAGCTGAGTCACGAGTGCTTGCCATGAGAAGTGTGTAATTTTTGTGTTGCGTTCAAATGTAATTTATAAGAATCTATAGCCGAATATAATACACTTTGCTGTTGGTATTTATATTTTAGAATCTAATTATTGCAGACTAGTGTGAGGTCATATTTCTGTGGGCAGGTGTGCTTTTATTGGAAACGACTCAACTTAACAACTGAGATAATCATGCTGTCATTATATAGACTAGGCTGTGGGTGAGTGACTATTGAGTTTAGATAGTTTTCAAGTGCTTTTCTAAGCCAAACAAGAGTTTTTTTTAATGCAAAACACTGTTCGGTTAGACATATTTGGTTGTGTGATTCGCAGTAGCTTCCGTATTTGTTCGGTAGTGTGCGCTGACGCGGGGAATTTCAGTGGCAGCACAGCTTTCTGAGTGTGCGCGTGTGGTGCAGTGAAACAGCTCTGTGCCTGTTCACGGACGAAGGTTATGGTGAGTAACCAGTAGGCTTTTGCACTATTATTAAAATGGACTAATCTGTCATTATATATTTATGGTATGACATTCGTTTCTTTTGTTTGTACGATGTTTCAGCGTTAATTACTATTTTTCACACGTCTATAGTTGTAATGAATTACGTGATTGTGGCTCTGTTTCATGTACTGTTGTATATTTATATTAGGTTAAGATAGGTTATGTTACATTACGTTCTTGATGGACTAATCGAGAGCAAACAAATCGCATATATTGACACAAGTTTGTCGACAGAGAATAGCTTTTTGGTGCAGACTAAACAAACTCAGAACCCATGAACATCGAATTCAGGTCGGCTTGGTAAGAAAAAGCATGAGTCATGATGTAAGGTCATTTTCGTTGCTACAGAGTGGCGCAGGAAATGATACCCGATTACAAGTTTAAATGAAAGCTTTAATAGTTATATAATGATATATATGAGCACAAAGAAAAATTCATGGAAATTTTTCTATCCTTTATGGATTACATGCTCAGTGTGACCACCGTTCCGTCGTGCAACTTCAAAACACGAACGGCTCCGTTCGTGATCACTCGACGGCACATATCATCCGTAATTTCAACACACATTTGAACAGCCAAAGCTCTGAGTTGTATTATTGAGGCCGTTTTTAAACATTTTTCCTTAAGGTAACTTCAAAGGAAGAAGTCGCAGGTGTTTATGCCCGGGCTGTTGGGTGGCCATTTCTGTCCATATGCATGCAGAGCAGGATGTCTATGGCCTCCCAACATATGGAACCCCTGTGACTTCTTCCTTTCAGTTTACGTCAAGGAAAGACTTTAAAAAACAACCTTAATAATGCAACTCAGGGCTTTGATTGTTCTAATATGTGGTGAAATAGAGGAAGATATTCAGTATTACGTTTCCTAGTTTGTTATATAAACAATTTTGTATATTCTTTGACTTTGATATTACATAATTTGTAAAGTATCTAGAGGGGATTCTCTCTAATATTTTAATTGGTTGGGGGGGGGGGGCTCACAACTCTCCTCATTCTTAGGTTGCGCTGCCTGTTTTAGACATCAATGCTGTTAAAAGAAGTGTATCACCCCAATACTTAAAAATGCATCGGGTCTCGCCCTAGACCGCCCTAATTCGACAGTTCAGTCAACAGTGGTAGTAATGTAGCCACATCGTTTTGTGGTATTCTTTTCTATAAAGGCTGCATTTCCGTCTTATTAACAGATACATTACACCAAATAGTTATATTATTATTTTAAATATTGGTCTATATTATATGAAATTATTTTTATAATTATATTTGTTATTAATTTCTTAAACGAACGGTTTTATCTTGATGTTACGAAAGCAGCGGGTTATTTCCATGTTCGTATCCTTCCACTATATTTGTAATTTTAACTGAAGGTTTATAATTAATTTCCCGTACACACATTGCCTTCATTCGTGTCATAATTATGTTATAAACTGGATATGAGATCTTTCTAGACAATACCGTTCTTAAATATTTAATTTCCCATTACGAACTTTACCCACTGATCATAAAATAAGGTTTTATTGCACTTGGCAAAATACAGTAAATCCCAGCACGAAACGAAATCGATGAATTTGTACAAGGCTTTTAATAACATTCTCGTCTACGGCGCCATTTACGACTCTAACAATGACAGCAATGGCGTGGTTCATTGTTCATGACACCAACGTTTCTCTGATGACGTCACAACTTTGGGTGGTATTGCATGAATAAAACCGAGGGCTGCCTTGGAACTTGCTTAATCATTTCCTTCGTAGCACATTATACTAAATTGACGGAATTATGGTGTTAACATTTTCCGAAGTTTGTCTATATGTTTACATGAGTAGAGACACGTCTATGTTTACCCTGGAGTTGACGCCTCAAGATGTGAAAATTCTTAAATCTAGAGATCTTTTTCTGTAGCATATCGTTTAAATGGAGGTAGGTTCCTGAGTGGATATTATTGAAGATTTCTGTCTTCTGGGTTGTTGCGCTGTGTAGTCTGGTCGATGTTTACCAACATTTCAGAGGTCATTCTGCCTCCGTCATCAGGGCGATGAGTATGAAGATTTCTGTCTTCTGG